CCATTTGAATTTGGCGCCTAAGATTTTGTTTTTCACTCATCAGGACAAAATCTTAGGCAATATTTCTTTCTTTAACAGTATTCAAGTTCTGTATTATCATGTGATTGTGAGAGAAGGAGGTCTTTGTGGAATAGCCCCTGCCTCTGAACCAAAAGGTCCAGGTTTGAGTCCTACTCCAGGATTTGATGGCCAAAGAAAGTATGTTCATAACACGGCTAAATTGACATCAACCTCCAAATCTTTTCAATACATGACAGTGACAGGCAACAACAGTGACAGAGATTCGTGGTTAGTTTTTAACTATCCATAGCTCCAAACTATAAAATGCAGACAAAAGTACATGTTGACGCAGCAATTTGACTCTTAGTGAACTGTAACACAACACCACCGATTGCAAACAAAGATCTGTGTTGCGAGATCTAATGACTTCACATCAATTATATTGGTGGTTATAGGCAGAGTTGTTAGCAAAACTTTAACTCATACTGCCAGTTAATTCTGCAGAGAAAAAAAACTGAACCAAAGTTAATAAACAAGTACATCAAAATAAGTTGTTACAGCAGATATACATCACTATGAACTACCCTAATGGGTAAATTACAACAAAAGTTTATGGAACAAGTTTTTCTTGAATAGTTCTCCAGTGCATAATACGGTCTATTTTAATAGATAAAATGTCCCCAAAGAGGATACATATATAAATATAAACTGACACACTCAATGATCTATCTTCTCAGGTACATGTAATAATGTTCAGGATGATGACTGTACACTGCCCAATGGAAAACCTGCAACCTCCTGTTCTGAAATGGCTGATTACTGGCAAGTCAAAGATTCCAACAAGCCAAATTGCAATGGACCATCCTCACTACGGGCTCCAAGGCCTCAAGTTACATTCAGTCCCCAAATAACACAAAAGCCTTGTAACTCTAATTCTCTTTGCAAGCTCATCACAAGCGAGTAAGATGTTTTACTGTATTGTATTATCTAAGATTTTTTAAGATAAATAACTTTGAATTTTTGCTTAGACAATGAACTAAATAACATACTAAAACAAGTTTATGCAAACCTTTTGGAATTTTTAATGAGATTTACAAATTCATATTAGCAATCCAGATTTTTGTGAACTTTTCCTGCGAAATGATAATTGCAAGTTTAGATTACAATGAAATGTTCTGAAATAACAGCATTTAAAGGTCCAGACAATATAACCGTTAAGTCAGTGAGATTTTCCCTTTACTTGATAGCTTGAACATTAGGCAATACTGGTAATGTGAAACTCTCGTTAGTTAATAACTGGGATTAAATACCACTCCATAGTTTAGGACATCTTTCGTTAACACAATACATAATTAGGGCACTTAATTGACCTGTGAGGGGAAAGTGGATGCAATACAAGAATGTGCTTGGACAGTTGAAAAAAAAGCTTGGTCAAACTGGTTGATTTTAAGGAGACAGTGGAAGATGCAAGGAACTTGTGGTTAGGACTTAAGAGTAAGCTTCAGTTTTTATTTAAGTGTTCAGCTGCAGCAAGTTGCAGTTCATTGAAGGCTGAATATCAGTTAAATAGTCTAACAGTTATTAGGCCAAGAGTTTTGGTTGCAACATACATACAGGTATCATTAATGTATGTGTGGTATGTGACCCCATGCATAGGATGATGTTGTAACGTGGATAAGAAAATAAAGCTTCCAAACTTCGATTCTTGGTCAACATCTGCAACGCCATGCTAGATAGGAAAAGAAACTATGGTTATGAGTTGATCAACAAGAGTAAAACAAATATGAGCTATCTACTGATATGGACAATGGAACAAATGCACTTGAGGAGAATTACACGATTTTGGAATTGTCATTTTAGTGCTTTGGGAGAGGCAGTAACACGTTTGGAGAGAACATATAAGGAAGAGAGGGCCAGGATGTGTGACATTAGAAAACTGTTCATCTACTTTGTAAAATAAAGGGATATTGGAGTTTGTAAAAAATACTGTAACAATACTTGTAAAAAAAAACTGCAAGAATAGATCATTAGAGAATGAAAGTGAAAACATTGGTTTTGAAAAGAAAAGAACAATGCCTTATCAGAGAGAATTATTTACATTGTCAGTGAGGCTGAATTTAGGAGTGGGGAAGGGGTAGGTGCTCAGCAGTTTATTGAGGATGAAATTTAGTAAGCAGGAGGTGAGTCTCATGAATGAGATAGGTATAAAAGTGGAAAAACATCACTTGTGCAACAAAAATACTGAGGGTTGAAGAAAATTTAGCATGTGTGGAAGAAGTCTACTTTGCATCTAACCCATTCTGAACTTATCAGGGGATTCTTAATGGGTGAGTGTAAAGGGAGCTTTACTCTGCAACTATACCATTCATTGTACCAAAAGTAAAAAAAAATTCAAAGTCTCACAGAAGGTTTCATGAATTGTATCTTTTCCAGGTTATTTGCAAAATGTCACAATCGTGTTTCACCAGACCACTACTATCAGGCATGTGTGCATGATGAATGTCAAATGCCAAGTACCTCAGTGATGTGCGCAAGTTTGCAAACTTATGCGTCTGTCTGCATGTCACACCATATCTGCATTGATTGGAGAAATTACACAAATGGGGTCTGTTGTAAGTATTACACGATTACAAAATGTTGCATATCATTCACAGCAGAAAAACAGGTCAGTTGGTCCAACGGGTCCAAATGGATGTTCATATTCCTCTCAACATCCTTCTTCATCTAACCCCATAAAATTTTCTTTCAACCTTTCTAATGCAGATTAGATGAATTTTGTTAGAATTTTGAGTATGTAACTATTAAGATGAATAAAGAGAAATAAATAAATGCATAGTATTTAAACTTTCAAAACAAAAACAGGGTGTCACACAAGGGGTTACTACATAAAATTAGAATTAAAAGTTTGGAAGAGGAGGTAATATTTAACATTAATTGAGGATTGGTTCATGAATGGGAAACAGAGAAATGGTCTGCACAAAGGCATGAAGGTACAGCATGCAGTTAGGATGGCAAATATGATGTTAGCATTTATTGCAAGTGGATTGGAGTACATGAATAAACAAGTCGTGATATTTACCTTCCCAACTATTTGCTGTACCTTCATGGCTAAATTTCTGCAGACCTTGCATGAGTATACCAAAAGTTCTTTGAATATCATCACTTATCAAGTTTCACACCTTTTACTAAATGTTCTGCTTTTCTATTATGACCAAAATGAATAATTTTACACTTCCCACATTATAATTCATCTACTCCCCTTGTTGCTTAATCACATAGCAACCTAATATTTCTTTGCAGCCTCTTTGTATCCTCTCCAAACTTCCCTTTCTATTTAGCTTAATATCATCAGCAAACTTAAATGCATTAAAAAATAACTTTCCAAATGGATGGTTGACTCAAACTGGTCAAAGCATTACCCTAAGAAATGAACCAATGAAGGCTATCATCTATTTTCATTGAGTTGAAACAGGCACAGTGTTCTTTCTGACTGCAAAGAACAGGACTCTGAGTATATACATGTAGAGCTTCCAGTAAATATAGGTGCACCATACTGCTAACCCAGCTGACAATCTTAAATTTGTTGTTGACCTAATTCTTCACACACACAAAATTCAACGAGCCCATGCTTGCAAAGCTCTCAGCACAATGTCTAACATTAGATGTGAGTCTGTGACTGAACAACATTAGCAAAATAAGCCTGAGCTTGGCAATTAACAGTCAGTTATCATTAATTGATTCATTCTTCATGGCAATGCTTTTACCAATGAGACTTTAATTACCAACTAATCAGCACTCTCCCCTCCTACAGTATATCTTTTATCTTCATTTTGATATTTCTTCTGAATTTTCTTAACGAGCCCAAGACAAAAATCTTCGACAGATGTATCTATTGTCAGTAATAATCTTCAAATTATTTTTCTCTATTTATTATTGTGACCTTATTTGCTGATGTACAATTTTTGATAAAGTCTTATACTTGCTAACAAAAATGTGTAACTTCATATTTTGCCAGATTGTACTTCAGTAGCCAAGTTTTGTCCACTCACCAAATGTTTCTATATCCTTCTTTACATTCTCCTTACTGCTTACTTCCCACTTACCTTTGTGTCATCAGCAAACACAGATAGTTACACTCAAAGGTTCTCTCATCTAGATTATTCTAGAATCATAGAGTCATACAGCATGGAAACAGACCCTTTGGTCTAACCAGTCCATGCTGGACATAATCCCAAACTAAACTATTCCCAGATGCACTTAGGGGTGCAGGTACATAGTTCCTTGAAAGCAGAGTCACAGGTAGACAGGGTAGTGATGGAGGTGTTCAGCACACTTGCCTTCATTGGTCAGAACACTGATTATGGGAGTTGGGTCTTCATGTTGCAGCTGTACAGGACAATGGCGAGGCCACTTTTAGAATACTGCATTCAATTCTGGTCGCCCTTCTATAGAAAGGACACTATTAAACTTGAGAGGGTGCAGAAAAGATTTACAAGAATGTTGCTGAGACCGGAAGGTTTGAGTTATAGGGAGTGGTTGAACAGACTGGGGTTTTTTTCCGTGGAGCAGAGGATGAGGAGTGACCTTATAGAGGTTTGTAAAATCATGAGTAGCATGCGTTGGGTGAATAGCCAAGGTCTTTTTCCCAGGATAGGACAGTCAAAAAATAGAGGGCATAAGTTTAACATGAGAGCGGAAAGATTTAAAAAGGACCTGAGGGGTAATCTTTGCACACAGAGGGTGGTGCATGTATGAAACTAGCTGCTAGAAGAAGTGATGGAGGCAGGTACAATTACAACATTTAAAAGGCATCTGGATAGATGTATGAATAGGAAGGGTTAGAGGGATATGGGCCAAATGCTGACAAATTAGACTAGGTCAGATTGGGAGGTCTGGCTGGCGTGGAGGTGTTGGACTGAATGGTCTATTTTCGTGCTGTATGACTCTATGACTCTAACTGTACAGGGTATTGCTAAGACCATGTCTGGAATATTACATGCAATTTTCATCTCAACATTTAAGATATTACACACTTACAATGGAAGCATTCACTAAATGAAGATTCACTGTATTAGAATTGAGGATGAAGGGCTAATCCTATGATGAGAGGCTGAGAAAATTGGGTCCATATTCTCTAGAGCTTAGAAGAGGTAATCTTATTGAAATGTACAAGATTCTGAAGGAAGTTGACAGGATAGATGCTGAGATATTGTTTCAGGTTATCAGGGAGTCTAAATCATGGATTCTGAGGATAAAGGAGCCGATTTGAGATGATAAAATATTTCTTCATTTAAAGGGTTGCAATTTTTTACAATTCTCTTCCTTGGAGGGTGGTGGAGCCTCCAATATAATACATTTAAGGCTGGGATAGGCAGAACTTTGATCTGTCATACAATCAAGGAACATAGGAAGTTGACAAGAAAGTGGAATTGAAGCCCCAGATCAGACATGATCGTATTGAATTACGGATTAGATTCAGTTGGTCATATGGTCTGACCTTGCTCCTATTTCTTGTGTTTATGTGTATTAGTAGACCCTGGCAGCAATCAACACATCTATTCATCAGCATCAGCACACCTACTCTGCATTATTTCAAAAAAGTTAGAACAAGGTCTGATAGAGGATTGGAAATAAAATTCAGTAGGGAGAAGAAAACAGCAGCAGATCAAGCACAATTAGCATCTAGCACTTCAATTAAAATTATATTTTGTGTTTATTAATTTAATAGTTTAATTAATTCTACAGTAGTAAATTTAGGAGTAATTTCAACAGCTTCATTTTGTTATATGCTTGTATATGTGGTGGAGGGAGTAAATGTTTAAGCTAGCTTTTTCCCAGAGTGGGGTACTCAATTACTAGGGGTCACAATTTCAAGGTGAGAGGGGAAAAGTTTAAGGGACATATGCGTGGAAAGTTCTTTACGCAGAGGGTGGTGGGTGCCTGGAACGCGTTGCCAGCTGAGGTGGTAGAGGCAGGCACGATAGCATCATTTAAGATGTATCTAGACAGATACATGAATGGGCAGGGAGCAGAGGGATACGGATCCTTGGAAAATAGGCAACAGGTTTAGATAGAGGATCTGGATCGGCACAGGCTTGGAGGGCCGAAGGGCCTGTTCCTGTGCTGTAATTTTCTTTGTTCTTTGTTCTAGTAGTGGGATGTTAATCATTTGGGTTGTTTTGTTGAGCTTCTTGAGTGCTTTGGGAGCATACTACACATGGTAAGAGGGGATTGTTACATCACATTCCTTTTGTGGAAATAAATCACTAATCGGAGAATTCCTAACCTCTGACTTGTTCTTTTATTCATAGCACCTATAAAGTCGATCTATTTAAATTTGTGATCAACTTTGACTATAATGTTGATGGCAGGCAATTCAATGATAGTCACAGAACGTCAAGCGGAGGCAGTTAGACTCCCTGTTTTTGGAGTTGATCGTTGTCTGGCAACTATGACTTTCTACTTATCAGCGTGAATGTGGTCCTGATCTTGCCATATGTGGGCGCAAATTACATCAATACCTGAAGATTTACAAACAGAGCTGAACAATGTGCAATCATCCGCAGATATCTACACTTTTGTTCTTATAGCAGGGGGATATTCAGGAATCCAGAGACTTTTCTGGTCCTGCTTATTTTTTTCCCAAGCTCCCCCCACAATGCTATGTACATGGCTCTGGCTGTACTCTGCAGAAACACATCTGATATAACGCCACAGAAGCCAGTATCCCATCACCAAGTCACCCTATATTTACACATGGAGAGTCCTGGACACTGGTCCGGCTTCCTCAGAGCCATCTCTCAAAGTGAGCAGAACCTCTCATACCACTTTTATACCTGTCAGCCAGGGCTCCCTGATTGGAGCAGGTTAACAGCCCCAATCAGGGAACTCATATTCTATGAGGTCCAGCTAGTAGATCTCATTACAATCACTACACCTTCATTCTCACTAATATTCAAAACTGAGTTCTCGTTAGCGAGCAGGATGCATTCAAGGGACTTCTGAAGTTCCCTTCTGGTCATCCTTGCCTGTCTGGCTACTTCCAGAAACATGGAAATTAGCATTTCAGAGGTGCTATGGTGATTCTAGCTGCTGCCCAGACTCCAAAACACAGAGCTTAAGCTCTTCCAGTTCATGACATTTTCTGTTCCTATGATTGTCAGGAAAATGTATTTTGAGTTTCCAAATTCCCATAATGTCCATTCAACATTCATAATGAGTATATGACATATAGTGTCATTTCTCAGTTTAATACTTAACTGTATAAACGTGCAAACATAAATTTAAGATGTCTCTGATCTGGAGAAGGATAAAACACTTACTGACTTTTCATCAATCTTTCCCAAGATTACCAAGCTCTTAGCCTTTCTTTGTAGATAGTATTTATCACCTAGAACATTTAACTCTCAGCTGACACAACAACACAAATGCTAATCACTAAAAACACAAACCAATAAATGCAGTACTTATGTGTAAACTAACTATACCTCTCCACACTCTGAGCTATGCTTGATGGAGCTTGTCAAGAATTTCCATTTCTCTGATGTCTGCAGCCATTCTGCATCTGATAGGTTCCTTCAATCATTAAAGAAGTGCATGTTCTATTAAAATGCCAACCTGTAACATTGCTGATAAAGTGACAAGAACATTTATTCCTTTTTTTTCAATACAGCTTTTAATTGCCCTTTAAACAAAGTTTACAAAGCATGTGAAATCTTTGAAGAGGAACTTACATGCACTTCAAGGTCTGTTACAGGCATTAAAAAATATATTGCATTATTTTAAAAATAGTTTTAAATATATTTTAAATTACTGTTCCCACCAATTATGACTAATATACTATACTAATGAATATATAATTATATTTTTAAAGCAATTCAGATTTGACTGGTCTTAACTTATCAGAAGGATGTTTCTGCCCAGAGGGTACCATTCTTTTCAGCCCTGACACTGACCTATGTGTTAATAAATGTGGTAAGTTTTTTTGCTTATTCTCATTTTTCTTTTTTTCTGCACTTCTTTGGATGTCTTCCCTCATTTTTTGTGTTCCTTCTGTAATTCTAAGAACTTTTTTTTTAAGGTTGTATTGGACCTGATGGACTACCTAAAGAGGTAAGCAGATATTAACCATACAGTCACTAAAACCTATTCATATCATAACTTGCTTATGAATATGTATTTTATCACTTGAATAAAGTTAACAGGCAATTGAACCACTGCAATGGTTTGAAATATATTGAGAGGTGCAGGATTTTGCCAACCAGCTTAACTGGCTTACTACGCACCTCAAGTCCTATAGTCTTTTGTTTAAAGCACTTTGAAATAACTGAAATTTAAAATGCAGTTGGTGAATGTAGAAATTCAGTGAGATAGAGGTAGGAAGTGCTGCTTGACAGATAAAATAGTTAAATTAGACTGTGGGCTACAAAATAGTGAAGACTAAAAATATATAATTAAGTTTAATTAATTAATAAACAAGGTTATTACCTAGATTAAAACTATATAGAGATAATTGAATGATATTTCAGAACTTGAAAACCTGATCAGTTAAATGAAATACCATAAAAGTTGCAGGGCACATTGCAGCTGTAGCATGGGGGACCCAACAGACACCTGACAGCTGCACTTCAAGGAACTTTGGTTTGGAATAGATGAATTGATATCCGAGTTTCAAATGCTGCAATGTACTAGGGAAGGAGGAATTTTCAGGAGCTAGCGTAAGGTCACGTATTTCAGATTTGGTCAGAGAAAAGTGTGTACATCTATGAATGAGACAAGTATGTGAATCCAGAAAATAACGTTTCTCCAACAGGTATCAGATTCTTGGAGCCATGGTGAATGAGGGCAAGGATTAAAGGATGAGCAAACCAACCATTAAACATTGCTAAAAGGGGACAAAAAGTTGAAGCTTTTTGTCTTACACTCATCAAAACTAGGATGCAAGAAACCGAATTGAAAAAGGGAATACTAAGTTATACAGCATGAGAAGTGGATGTTATTGATTAGGTGATCATTGTCCTGTGATGCAGCAATATTAATTGTCAATTTTAATTCTCAGCACAGGCAGGCAGATTCTAATTGGTCACGATGTTTACACAGAATGCAGCAGAGATTGACAATCTTCATGATCCTTTTTTTAACGAATGTGCAAATTTCTTTAGTCTACGTAAAGCAAGGTCTTTTGTATTTTGATATCTAGCTTCTAACACATGCAAATAGTGTGAGCCCAGCTGATAATCTTAAAATGGTTTCCAGTATAACTCTTATTTAATAAACAATTTCCGATAGCACAATCACATTAGACGGCAGATATATTTTTCTGAGGCTTGCAAGAATTGATGTGCTACCGTTAATAGAGTTAGAGCAGTAAAAAGGAATGTAATAGTGACAAGGAACGGTATCATTTGGAGGTTAGATACTGTTCTCTGCAGGAAGTAGCATGAGTCCTAAAGCTATATAATTGCCTATACAAGGCTGGCCTTAAAGCTGTAATCTTAGGGCTGAAAAGGAACTTGAGTGAAAGGAGATCAACAACAGAGGTAGGACTAAGAAAGAGACATAGAGTGAGAACTGGTTAGTGAATAGAAAACAAAGAATAAGAACAAATAGATCATTTCCAAAATGGCAGTCTATGACCAATGGGATACCTCAAGGATTAGTACTTATGCCCCAATGATTTGGATGCGAGGCTTAAATGTAATGTATCCAAATTTTCAGATTGGTAAGGTCTGGTGGACTTTAAATTGTAAAGATTTGGACAGACTGCATTAGTGGGCAAAAAAGCAAAATGGTAGACTGAATACAATGTGAAGAAATGTGTTATCCAAACAGATATTTTGGGCAGAATCATATACGGGCTTTAGTGAGATGTTTGGCGAATTCCATCAAGACATTGAAATTATCTCACTGTATCTTGTATGCTTTTCTCAAGCAGCGAGGCCAGATTCTCGGTAGGCAACAGCGAGTTCACAGTCAACACTCATTAATGTTTCTTAAACTCCTTGTTAACAGCCCAACTTGCCATGGATGGTGATCTTACCAAACTCAACAAACAAACTAGTCATCAGGAAAACGGAGCACAGAAACCAGAGTGGGTTCTTGGCAGGTTCAACTCACCACCTACTCCAAAACACTTCTATGTTGGATACCAGGCATCAACATTTCAGGCACCCAGCCACATGCACCCCACATGCATCCATGAACACTGGTATCCAGCATGTGCCAGCCTCTGTGCACCTTCATGGCATGTCTCCAATCCACTCACTATAATTCTGCATTTCAATGCTGCACCTCAGTGTGCCCCAGCATCTATCATTGTAACATTGCATCAAGGATTCTTTCTGCTGAGGGATTGGATAAAGCTGCATTGGACTCATGGCTAGCTGTCATACTATTCACATGGAAGCTCACAGCATTCCTGCGCTACCTTTCCATATTACTACTGTCTTGCCATCCCATTTTGCACAGATACAAAGCCAGGAAGCTTGCCATGATTATTAGCAGGCCTCAATCCAGTTGAAAGGGAAAGTCTTTGCACAGAGGATCTTGGCAGATCAAGTCCTGGGCAGGCTCCTGTACCAGTTCAAGCTCTGCTCAAGCAGTCAGAGTCAAGGTCCTTTGCTGATAAAGAGTGAGGAGTCAAATATCAGGCAGCATATCATCCAGCTTTACTTCTTCTGCCTTATTGTGAGCTATTTTGCTCTTGAAATGAGAGAGAGGCAGGTATTACAAATGATGTAAATTGGTGGCACAACAATTACTGCTGATACAGGTGGGAAGGTTTCTTGAGCAAGTGAGAAGGTCATGCAGAGGGCATGTTGGGTGATTGATTTTCATGGTTGGGATGATGAGGGTGAGTGGAGAAGACGCTGAATGCAACAGCGAGAGAGGCAGTGGTTGATTCTTGGTGGGAGGTGGGTCCAATAGCAGAGACAGTGTGAGGTTTCAGAGAGAAAGATGATGGCACTGATGGAGTGGAGAAGGACACTGATCTTCTTCCTCCAGTGCTGGGCATTCCTCCAGAAGTGAGTGCACTAGCTTGGGTTACAACCTCAAACCAGGATGGCAGGGTCTGATGTCATGGCCTCCACTGGTAAGATGGAACAGAAAAGCTCAGTCATGATAAGTACCACAAGGGTTAATATGGTAATTAATGTGGTGAGTTTGGTAAGATATGGCAAGATAACTCACTCAGCCTTATGGTGAGAATCATTCCACTAAAGTTTGGGGCAGCACAGTGGCTCAGTGGTTAGCACTGCTGCCTTACAAGACGAAGGGCCTGGGTTCAATTCCACTCTCGGGTGACTGTCTGTGTGGGGTTTGCACATTCTCCCCGTGTCTGTGTGGGTTTCCTCTAGGAACTCCAATTTCCTTCCACTGTCCAAAGATGTGCAGGCTAGGTGGATTTGCCATGCTAAATTGTCCATAGTGTTCAGGGATATGTAGATTTGGTAAGTTGTAGGGGGATGGGTCGTGGTGGGATCCTCTGAGGGTCAGGGTGGACTTGTTGGGCCAAAGGGCCTGTTTCCACACTGTAGGGAGTATAAGTCTAAACTTGATATGACTCACATTTAGTCAAAAATCCTTGAGATTAGCCCACAGAGGGACTTGTGTATCCTTGTTCATGAGTCACTGAACTTTAACATGCAGATACAGCAAGGAATTAAGAAGGCAAATACTATGTTGGCCTCATTACGAGAGGATTTGTGTACGACAGTAAATATGCATCACTGCAAATATTTGGAGTGTTGGTGAGATCACACTCAAGGTATTGTATGCAGTTTACCAAGGGAAGATATATTAAGTATATAAAAAATAATATAGATCAGATTTTAAAGTAAGTGGTGGGCACTGGACCATGGGTAGGTGGGGCTGTTCAGGGTGCTTGGTGGCTTCAAATGAGGGAAAATGTAGAAAATTAAAGAAACAACACAATGCGATATTGGAGGGTAGTTATATAGCTAATGATAATCAGAATGTGGCAGTGTACTAACATAAAAGTGCACAACAGATGTGGTCAGAATAAAAAACATGAGTCAAAGACAAAATTAAAGCCTCTTTATCTAAATGAAGATGATGTTGGGCAAATTGGACTAAACTGCTGTACTTCGTGACAATGACCTTATTCTGTGCCAAACTGATTCTATATAGAATCTGTTTGAATGTAGCAAAGAAATAACAAGAAAAAAAGTTATTGGTGAGAGCAATCTATACTAGCTGCACTGTAGGATAGAGGTTTCACTTACGTATTCTCACTGGTAGGCTGGTCATTAGCTCAATGTCTGCTACTATTTCATTCTGACTTAGTTTATTGGCAGATCTTTTTTTATCCCTAATGGTTGTTTGCCAATGACTTTCACTCTCAGGGTCAGATTGAGGAGGCAGTTTCCAAGTATGCCTTAACTAAAAGAGGAATTGAATCTGTGCTTTCGGTTTTGTTGCAAACCACATGTTCGCCATCTATGCAACTAAGCTAATCAGCTCCGCACTAACCATATATCACAAAATAATGGCGCTTGAAAGAAAGGTACTGCAATAACAGTCAACAACCTTAATCTTCATCTAGACAGGACAAATCAAATTGGGAAAAAGTATACCTGAGGACATGTTCATGGAGATCTTTTAATTTGTAATGAACAGGATCAGTTAGTTATTTTACTGTAAAGGATCTCTCAGTAAACTAATCATAACATGTAGGAATTTCACGTTTAGTTTGAGGGTAAGGAACTTCACGTTTAGTTCGAGGGTAAGAGACTTAGGTCTGAAATTAGTACTTTAAATTAAAGGGAATTACAAAGATATGAAGACAGTTAATGAAAGTGGACTTGGAAAATAAGCAATGCCAGACATTTAAAAGAAATTTCAGCACTTTTACACTGAGAGAGAAAGGCTAAACAATCTATTGCTGAATACAAAAGTTAAGGATGTAACAAATTGAAGGAAATGGTTTACAATATTGTGAAGATAAGGAACATTTTCGAGATCAGCAAAAGATGCCTAAAAATTAAGAAACTAGAATATGATAATAAAAATAACAGGAACACCTTCTAAGAATATGAAAAGGAGCAGCATAGCTCCATAAACATTGATCCCATAGAGATGAGAATAAGAAATTAATGGGAAGCAAGGAAATAGTAGAAACTTTAAACAAGTATTATGAATCTGTCTTCAAGGTGGAAGAGACTAAAAACATCCCAATAAGGGTACTAAGTTGGGTGCAAATGGGAAATCGCATTTGACAAATTCATTCTTTAAATTCTTTAAGTATAAAATGAGCAAAGTGAAAAAGGGAAAAAATAGATGTGGCGTATTTGGATTTCCATAAGGCAATTGATGAAGTGTAATGTAAAAGATGATCTCATTGTGTTAGGTGTAATATATTAACACAGTGAATTAGCTAACCAACAGAAAATGTAGATTTGGGATCTATAGGCCATTTTCATGTTGGCAAATGGTAACTATTGGAATGGTATAGGGAAAAGTACTGAGTTTCAACTATTTAAAATCTACATTAATTACTTGGATGAAGTGACCAAGAGATAAATTGTAAGCTGTGTTGTGACGACTGCACAAAGAGTTTGCAAATGAATAAGGAAAGGAGAGGTGAATAGGGGAAGAAATTATTAGAATGAGCATAATTTGGAAAAATATGAAGTTATCCACTTTGTCAAATAAGTACACAGTAATGACTCTGCATCTGATCTTATGATCACTTTCTATTCTCTTATGTTTTCAATAGTTTAATGAAAGATTTAAGTTCAACTGCCAGGACTGCATCTGTGACAAAATCACACACCGTGTCATCTGTCAACCACACAGCTGTCCTATTTTTCCATCAACGCCTTGTGATGGAGAAGGATTTATCAATGTTAATATAACAGTCCCAAATGATGATTGTTGTACAAAAACTATGTGCAGTAAGTTGATTATTACTTAGTTACATGGAATGAAATGGTATATTTAAGGCTGAAATAGATAATTTCTTGAGCAGTAGGAGAATTAAGGGTTATGGGGTAACGGTAAGGAAGTGAACATGAGGAATATCGCATCAGCCATGATCTTATTGAATGGTGGAGTAACCTTGAGGGGCCAAATGGCCTACTCCTGTTCCTATTCTTATGGTCTTTTATTAGCATATATTAAAGAACAATTCAATTGAAAAGAACTCAAATCCAGGTTTGATGGAAAAATATAAGTCACATGCTTTGCTGTGCTGCAAAAGCACGTCTGATACATCTGTAACTTGCCTATGATTTTTTTTTCATGCAGCATGTGGATTCATGGTACAGTTTGCAAGCCATGATGGAAAGTGTGAGGCGTGAAGTACAGGGGTAGACCATTCTTGGAGACAGCAAAACAACTCCCACCATTATTTAAAGGCCCCCAAACCTCACAATCAATGCCTCTTCTGTGCCTCAGATTCCTCATGCTACCCATTTCCCATCAATTTCCAAAGGCACTCCACTTCATTGGCCCAGTTGTATTATCGCTGGACTATTAAATCAGAGACCCAAATAATGTTCCAGGGGTCTGGTTTGAATCCTGCCACAGCAGATGGTGGAATTTGAATTCAATAAAAATCTGGAATTAACAGTCAAATGATGACCATGCCCATTGTCAGAAATAACCCATCCAGTTCACCAATGTCCAATAGAGAAGGAAGCTGCCACCCTTACTTGGTTTGGCCTTCATGTGACTCCAGACCCACAGCAATATGGTTGACTCTTAACTGCCCTCTGGGCAATAAAGGATGCATTTTTAAAAAATTCATTCATGGGATGAGGCCATCCCTAGCTAGAGACGCCTTCATCCCATAAATGAATGAAAAACAGTCACCTCCACGCCCCATGCATCCTCCACGCATTGTCACTTATACAGCATCCTTACGCATTATTCTGAGGATCTGATCACCAACAATAGGAATTATTTGATATGCAGGTATTCTAAATTAAATTTGTCACATTGCCACAAAACTCTTATTCAAAAATCTGTCGTTGATACTAGAAAAGATCTGTTCTCTATAGAAACAAAAAGCTAATCCTTAATTGGCCAGTTAAAGTTGTGGGTGGAGCTAAGAAATAGGAAGAGGATGGTGATGTTATTGGGGTTGTACTATAGGCCCCCAAATAGTCAACAGGAATTAGAAGAAGAAATATGCAGGGAGACTGGGGTGACTTGCAGGAGCAATATGGTTGTCATAGTGGGGGATTTTAGTTTTCCTAACACAGACTAGGACTGCCAGCGTGTGAACAGCTTAGATGGGATGGAATTTGTTAAGTGTGTTCAGGAAAGTTTTCTCAGGCAATATATAGAGGGTCCTACTTGGGAAGAGGCAAAACTCGACCTACTCTTGGGAAATAGGTCAGGACAGATGACTGAAGTGACAGTCGGGGAACACTTCAGGACCAGTGACCATAGTTCTATTAACTTAAAATAGTTACAGAGAGGGACAAAATGGTCCTCAGTTTCAAGTTCTAAATTGGGACAAGGCAAATTTTGATGGAATTAGACAGAAGCTTGCAGCTGATTGGAGTAAAGAGGCAAAGAGACCTCTGGCAAGTGGGAAGCCTTTAAAAGTATGATAGCTCAGGTTCAAGGTCTATATGTTCCTGTGAGGGTGAAGGGCAATGTTGGCAGGAGTAGGGAACCCTGGATGGCAACAGATATTGAGGCTGTGACTATAAAGAAGAAGGAGGAATGGCTCAGGTACAGGCAGCTGGGATCAGGGGAATCCCTGGAGATATATAGGGGATACAGGAGTTTACTGAAGAAGGAAATCGGGAGAGCCAAAAGGGGCATGAAATAGCTTTGGCTGAGAAGGTTAGGATGAATCCAAAGAGATTCTTTAAGTATATTAAAGGAAAAAAATACTAGAGAAAGAATAGGACCCTCAAGTACCAAAGTTGACATGTATGTGTGTAACTGCAGGAGATGGGCGAGGTCCTCAATGAATATTTCTCCTCTGGGTTTACCATGCAGAAAGACATGAAGACTTAGGAACTTGGGGGAGTTAGGGCCAATATCATGGGGACAGTCCATATCACAGTGGAGCACGTGTTGGAAGTATTAAAATGTATGAAGGTGGATAAATCTGCTGGTCCTGACCAGATATATCCAAGAACCCTGCAAGAGGTTAGAGAAGAAATTGCAGGGGTCCTGGCTGATATATTTGCATCATCGCTAGCCATGGATGAGGTCCTGGAAGACTGGAAGGTAGCAAATGTTGTGCCTTATTCAAGAAGGGCTGCAAAGAAAAACCTGGGAATTATAGACCAGTAAGCTTAACATCTGCGGTAGGTAGGTTACTCGAGAAGATTCTGAGGGATAAGATTTTCATGCATTTCGAAAGACAGGGTTTGATTAGGAGTAGTCAGCATGGCGTCATGCATGGGAGATCATGCCTCACAAATTTGTTAGAGTTCTTTGATGAAGTGACCAGGAAGATTGATGAGGGCAGGGCAGTAGACATAGTCAATATGGATTTTAGCAAGGCCTTTGATAAAGTTCCACATGATAGGCTGCTCTGGAAGGTTAGATTGTTTGGAATCCAGGGAGAGCTGGCAAATTGGATACACAATTGGCTTGATGGTAGGAAGCAGAGAGTAATAGTGGAAGGATGCCTGTCGGACTGGAGGCCTCTGATTATTGGTGTGCCTCAGGGGTTGGTGCAAGGCCCATTACTGTTTGTTATCTATATCAGTGATTTGGATGAGAATGTTCAAGGCAATGATTAGTAAGTTTGCGGATGTCACTAAAATAGGCGGTATCGTGGGCAGTGAGGGAGTTTATCAAAAATTGCAACAGGATCTTAATCAGCTGGGGAAATGGGCTGAGAAATGGCAAATGGAGTTTAATATAGATGTGTGAGGTGTTGCATTTTGGAAAGTCAAATTGAAGTAGAAGTTCCATGGTGAATGGTAGGGCCTTAAGGAGTGTAGTGGAATAGAGGGACCTTGGAGTTCAGGTGCACGGTTCTCTGAAAGTGGAGTCACAGGTAGACACGGCAATGAAGAAGGCTTTTGGCACACTGGCTTTCATCCGTCAGGGTATTGAGTATAGAAGCTGGGAAGATATGTTGCTGTTGTACAGGATGTTGGTGATGCTGCACTTGGAGTGTTCAGTTTTAGTCAACTGGCTATAGGAAGGATGTTATTAAACTGGAAAGAGTGCAGAAGAAGTTTACAAGGATGTTGCCAGGACTCAAGGGTCTGAGTTATACGGAGTGGTTGGACAAGCTAGAACTTTTTTCTTTACAGTGTAGGAGACTGAGGGTGTATTTTATAGAAGCATGTAAGATTATGAGAGGCATGGATAGGGTGAATGCACTCAGTCTTCTTCCCAGGGTTGGTTAATTGAGGACTACAGGGCATCAGTTTAAGGTAAGAGGGGAAAGAGTACATGGGAACCTGAGGGGCAACATTTTACACAGAGGGTGGTATGTATGTGAATGAGTTGCCAGCATAAGTGGTTGAGGTGAGTACATTAACAACATTTAAAAGGCATTTGGACAAATACATGGTTTGGAAAGGCTTAGAGGATATGGGCCAAGTGCAGGGCAATGGGGTTAGCGTGGATGGACATTTTGGTCGGCATGGACTAGTTTGGGCCGAAGGGTCTGTCTCCGTGCTGTAGGACTCTATGACTCTATGAATACCACATACTCTGAAGATGTCAAAACAGCATGTTCATAGCACCTATTTCACACTGGAGCAATAAATTCAAAATATACCTCTATAATCCAAGGAAATGTATCTTCATTTTTGAATGGCTGACAGATAAAACACATTGGCTATCTGCTCATTAGTTCAGTTAAAAATGCCCCCAAAGAATTCATCAATAAACAGCTGAGAGTTTTTGAAATATAATGCTGTATGTACCAGTTCTTCAGTAAGTACATACTAATAAATATAGAATGTAATTATATTTTTTGCTAATTATTATTTTTAAAAATGTATAGTTTTGAAAATTAGTTGCCTGCACTATAAAATTTTATTGCAGCTTCAACGAGTAGTGCAGTATAATGTTAAATGCAGGTCAGCATATTTTCTTTCACCCAGGACCAAGCTGAACTTAGGACAGTTGAAATAGGGATGTGAGTTTTGTTTCTCTTGCCATCTATAAGGACTGACATCAAATACATTTTAACTATCTCAATCCAGTTATCGTTGCAGCCAATTTAACAGAAAAAAAATTCCATTAAAAAGAAGCCATTCATTGCTATTGTCTCCGAGGTAGGAGTCAGAAAAGCTGGTATGGGAAATGGAAAGATTATAGTATTGCAAGAGGAGAGCTTTTCTCCAACTATACTTGAGATAAAACAGTCTGACTCCCTAAAATAGTTCAGGAAAAGAATAGAGCTCGAGTGTGCTTGGTTCTTACGTCAGTTGGAAATTCTCGCTCAGAGGAGTGGAGCCTCTACAAGCCTATTTATTTGGAGGCAAAGACCCCAAAAGTGGGAATCCCAAATGCTGATATTTCCCTGGCCCATAATCCTGTATTAAATTGAAGACAAGAATTCCAATGAGATGAAGTATATTAATTATGTTGAGAAGAGGAAAATATACCATTGAGATAAACTAGCCTCAGTTTCCAAAGAAATCTCAGAATTCTTTTCTTAATTATATAGACCGATGAGGGTGAGAAATATATAGGCACACTATGATATATATATCAGGCCTGTGACAGGTTCTGGAGTTTTTGGAATGGAATAGGGCAGCTAGGTTTTCAGGATGTTTCTGTAGGAATACACGCTGTCCTTATGCAAAATAAAATGTCTACCCCAAAGGGTTATGGATGTTCAATTGTTTAGTTTAGGTTAGTTTTTAATTTCTGGTAATTTGGTCATTCACTTTGATTAACTTAAAGTAATCAAAAATATAATTCTAAGTTATTCATTAAATTTAAGGAGCTTAAAATAATCATGAATAGTTTAACTGTCATTTACAATTAATTTGATTTCATTTGATGTACAACTTGTGATTTATTTAGGGTGCAACAGCAATCTCTGTGCTCCAAATGAGATGAAATGTAGTCTTGGATTTAAAATAGTGTCAAAGATTCCAGATGGGCATTGTTGTCCAGTTTACACATGTGGTAAGTTAACACAGTAATCTATATGGTTTTGAATACTACAAAAGCATGACATGTAAATCATGTACAGAAAAGTATGTTCGAGGAAGAATATTGCATCTATCAGTCATACTAGCCAATAGTACAATCTTGCACATTGTTCAACTCACTCTGTTGCCCACCTTGGAAAAATTTTCACTGATCAGTGGTGTGTTGTCAATTAATAGCAATTAACCATTGTTAGGATCCTTGCTAATGACTCAAATGGCCTCATTAATTTTCCAATTCCAACCTCACTATAATCACCAAACAAACCAGGTGTCAGAAAAACCGAAGACAGAAACTAGAGTGTGTTTGGTGGGTTCAGCTTGCGGCTACCTCAGAATAACCTCCGTCTTGCCCATGGTAGAGCAGGGCACATTCAGTGAGCACTGGCTACGCAGCTCTTCCAACATGGACACTGACATCTGAATTTCAGGGAGTCATTGCTACTATATTAGCATCTCTCCAATGTACTGGTAGTGTGCCCTGCAAGCCCAGACATGTCTAGCAGGGCACACCGGCAGCCAGCTGTGTATGGCTGCAATCAGTACAGTTACCGCATGGGGACAGGCACCCAGTGCATGAAATGGGTCTGGATTATTCCCTTAATCTATCAACACTGATTCACTTGGTGCCTAGAAGGAGGCGCACAGCATTTATTTTTCCCTTGATCTGCCATGCTTTGCAGTGGCAACAGGTGCATTCACACAATCAGGCAGGCAGTCGTACTGTGCAACAGTCCTCAGACAAGGGACATACATCTTGACATATGTCAGTGTGCCCTGTCAGTGTAGCACCTGTAACACTTGACAGCAATGTTCATGCCAAAACATACTACATCTGCAGCAAGAAGTATGGTTAACAAAGGGCAGCCTTCCATAACAGTCCCAGGTGTTGGCCATGGTCAAGATTTGCACAAGGGATCTGGATCTGTGTTTCTGAATTCCAGAGAGCAGGTCATGGTCAGTTCTTTGTCTCCATAGGAGCCAGTTCAACAGGATGGACTGCCATAGTCAGCAATGTGTGTGGCCGACAGTCACAAATTTGAGCCAGCACCGGCAGGTCAGATCGCTCAATGTGTGGGCCATGGTTGTCTTGTCACTTCTATTCACAGAATTTAAGGGAAGTGAGGTTTGGAGAGGAAAGCTAGGCAGATGTAGATGGTTGAATGATGACGTGGGGAAGTGTGAAGCCTACGGGGCTGATGGAATGGGCACCTAGGGTGAGAAGTGTTGAGGGTCACAGCGTTGCATTCATGCTGAAGCCGAAAGCCTGGGCTGAGGACTGCTCACTGTTGTTTCAATAGTGAAAGGCATGGAAAATGCATATTGTTACAGAAAATGGCCACAAAGGGACTTGTGATGAGTGGGATAAGTGAACTCAGATGACTGAGGGAGCTGAATGTACAACTAGTCACTGGGCACAGAGGAAGACCACTGTCTGCAAACGAATCATATGCCGGCAACACAGGCATCCAGGGTGCCTACTCGCTGACCATCCTGCAGGATTGACCCTTTCCATCAACTGTACCTCTCTGGTGCCATCACTGCTATGGAACTCCCTGAGATATACACTCTGCACACACACTCCTGCCGAACATTAGGGTGTGTTGACAAGGTAGCCTACGGTGTCAGTGAGCCAATGCCATGTACATACATTGCTCCCTGCACCTACATGATTGATTGGTGCTCACTGTAGATCTCAATGACTATATCTCATTGCAGCCCAATGAGCGATGCCACAAAGCACAACAAAGCATCTAGGCCCTATACAGACAGAACCGTATAAACAGTGAATCCAACAAGCCTATATAAAGATAATACTGTCAGCTGTGTCCACTACGTGCCTTCAGTATAATTTCCTTCTTGTCTCCCTCCTGCTGCACCTTAATGAGCTACCCTATTCCACAGATGGGGTGGAGGGAGCCTATTGGACCTGGAAGTTTGAACAGGTGACCCAGGGGTGTTTGGATCTGAATGGGCCAGACATGCTGAGGGTCTTCTTGACAGAGGAACATTCATCCTTCTTGGCCTGAACTTCCAAGGATTAGGGGTCAGCAAGGATGGAGGTGGGAGGCCAAGCCACCACTGCAGTGTTCCGAATAGACACTGCCAAGGACTTGCGTGTGTGACTCCTCCTCCGACTGGGTATGGAAGTACCTGGATTCAAGGCTCCCTAGCCCACTGTCGCCCTGTCTTCAGTTCTAAGGACTAATATCTGGTGTGATGGTAGGTATTGTGAACTCTCTAGCAAACGTCAAGGTTGCTGGGCATGTCTCTTCACAGCAGCCACCAACCTGTCCATGGAGGCAGACCTGTGGCTGCATCACTCGAGCTTTTCAGCTTTGAGGGCCAGTGGGTCCTGTACACCCACCTGTCACTGCAGCTCCTCCCTGTACCTGTATCTGTGAGGTCCCTCATCACTGAAATCACAGAATTATCTTCTGCCAGTCCTTTGTCTACCAAGGTCGTGGGGCATTTCTCCCTTACCTGTCTGCAGTACAGTCTGTGTGCGGGGATGCTCAGCCTCCAGTCCAGTGTTGACTCCTTCCAGCTGTCATTGTCAGAGCTGGCAAGGTTGCTACTAACAGCTGACCAAGTGTCCTTTGGGGCCAGATCTCTGCTGATGTGCTCAGGTGATCAGAGTATATGTAACACAGAAAAGGCAGAAGTGTCGAGCCAATGGTCAGCAGTGTTGTTCCATGCAGAGCATCAATACTCTGGTTAATGTTAACACTATTTACTCGGCTTCTGGGACATGGACATTTCTGTATCCCTCCAGGAGTGGGCAATTTCCTCTCTTACGAAGGCAAGGATTCAGTCCTTGTAGCACATGATGACCCAAACATCTGTAGCCTGCCCCAAACATCCACCATTGCTCTACTGATTATGAGATGTCTTCCTTTATAATGACATAAAGAAGGCAAATGAGTAAGACACAAGTGGATGATATGTCTGCTAGTGCTGATACATGTGGAACTATTGTGTTGAAGTGTCTGAGGAAATGAGGAGGCACCTGGCAGGATATGTAAGGTTAGTGGTATGGGAAGCTGGTGGTCAAGCAAATGAATGAGGATGGGTGTTGCATGTTATAAAGGGGTTGTCAGAGCATGGGCTTTAATGAAAGATGGCTTCATTTACAGGGATGGAGCTAGCATGAGGTAGCAGAGATCAGAGTATGGAACTTTCCCTGGAAGAGTGGAGAAAGTCATTGCCTTTATTTCTGCACAACAGCCCTGTTCTTTGCACCCTGGAGACTGCACTGACCTGGGTTGCAATTTAAAATCAGGCAAGCATTGTCTGGAAGCATGACCTTCTCTAATGGCCCTCTGAGAAGAGAACATCTTTTTGCTGCACCACTCTGCCCACCAAGATTTCCAGATCTCTCTTCTGAGAAATATGGTACCAGCCTCCCCTTCTCTGCCATCAATCCTCACTGCTCACACAATTGAGCAGGACAGCTGCCAAATGCCAGTCTTCCTCCAGGTAAGCGACAGGCATTGAAAGATGGCCCAGTCACAATGGATGCTGGTCTTAGGACGGATGTCTGCCGAGTGGAAAGTTCTTCTGGGAATAGTATATGATAAGATGGGACAGAAATTGGACGCAATACATGCCAAGATTAGTTGAGAAAATCCGTTTGGCCTCATAGTGAGAATCATTCCACAAAACATGATGCGACTTGCACTTATGCAAAAATAAGTACAGTTCAGCACATAAGCTTTTGTGTAGGTCAGACAATCGGGAATATTCTTTGGATTACACAAGTAAACTTCACTGCTTGTCCCTTTCGATACACTCATAACATGTCATTGGGTTGGTATTAGGCCTAATCTATTTAAATATGGCCTTGTAGTTAAATGATCTCATTCAGGTCAGTGAATAAGCACAGACCAGTGCTTGCTCCTAGGCTCCAGTAAAAATCAAGGACAATATGCTGAGGTTAGTTTCTTATTAATTTATAATGCTTCACTAATTGCTTTCTAACTCATTCCGTTGGTACTTGTCATTCATATGCTGTAGAAACTCATGATAATTGACTCATTTGGAATTTTTTATAAGTTTTCACATCAGTGATGTTGACTTACTTCAGTGGAAATAACTGTTCTATCAAATGAAATTAATTAAACACTTTATCTTAAAGCAACTTGTGAGTTTAACTTATGTTTTATGGTATTTCTAATATTTCTTTCACAGAGCCAAAGGGTGTCTGTGTTAATGAAGGGGCAGAATACAATGTAAGTTGGTTGTTTGGAAAGTAAACTTTTCTTTTAATTCAATAATCAGTTCAAATTATTTATAAAAATTAATTGATCCTTTTTTAATGTCCATACAGCCAGGTGCAATTATTCATCTCTCTCCTTGTCAAAGCTGCACTTGTACCAATGAGACAGATGTGGAAACTCTGCTAAACCTCATTAAATGTCGAAATATCGAATGCAACAACAAGTGTGCACAAGTAAGAACTATATTTGAGAATTGTTTGAAAATTTTGAATCATTTTGTAGTAATCACTGGAACATATATATTTAATGTTGCTGATTATAATAAAAAAAACCATCCAAAGACACTGGCTGTGTAACAAACAGGTGGGGGAAGGGTGATTGACTCCTCTTATTTTGGGGCAAATCAGAGCAGGACATAGTCACTTAATGGTAAGAACCTGGAGAGCATTGCTGAACAAAGATACGTTGGAGTGCAGGTTCATAGTTCCTTAAAAGCGGAGTCACAAGTAGACAGGGTAGTGAAGAAAGCGTTTGGGGTATGCTTTCCTTTTTTGGTCAGTGCATTGTGTATTTTGCAGCTGTACAGGATATTTTGGAATACAGGTAGTTCTCTTATAACGCAACAGTTGTGTTCTTGTGTGACCTCGCGCTGTAGAAAATCACTTTACAGAAAATTAGCATAGAAAATTGCGTTATAGGGAAATCGCTATACCTGTACAGCAGATTGTTGGCATTATCCAAACAGCGTCCACTATTCATCAATTGCGCTACAACCAATTCACGTTAACAAAACACTTATTATAGCAGAACTACCTGTACTGCCTTCAATTCTAGTCTCCCCAATATTGAAAAGATGTTGTTAAATTTGAAAGGGTTCAGAAAAGATTTATAAGGATGTTGCCAGGGTTGGAGAGTTTGAGCTATAGGCAGAGGCTGAATAATTTGGGTTATTTTCCCTGGAGTTTTGGAGTTTGAGGGGTGACCTTATAGAAGTTTATTAGAATCATGAGGGGCATGGATAAGGGGAATAGCCAAGGGGGAATCCAAAACTACAGGGCATACGTTTAAGGTGAGCAGGGAAAAGTTTAAAAAAGAGACCTATGGGGAAACTTTTTCACGCAGAGGGTGCACATATGGAATGAATTGCCAGAGGAAGTGGTGGAGGCTGGTACAATTACAACATTTAAAAAGCATCTGGATGGGTATATGAATAGGAAGGGTTTAAGAGGGATATGGGCCAAATGCTGGAAAATGGGACTAGATTAATTTAGGATATCTGTACCGAAGGGTCTGTTTCCATGCCATACAACTCTATGACTCTAAACACTTCTTGGTTGGTTACAACAATGTTTTAAATTTCTATTTTAGCACACACCTATCACATTTCACCTAAAACATAGTTAACCAGATCAAAATAAAGGAGCTGTTTGAGTGAAAACAGGAATTTTATAATCTACTACCCTGAAAAACATATAATAAACGTGACATCAAACATGCATGTTTAAAGATGATAGAGTCCTTCAGTTGTGAGAATGACCTGAGTCGCAAATGTTTAGCTATTAAGTTGTTTCCTCAGTAGGCACATTTGTACATCTTGAGATAACAAGGTGTGGAGCTGGATGAACACAGCAGGCCAGGCAGCATCAGAGGAGCAGGAAAGCTGACGTTTCGGGTCTGGACCCTTCTTCAGAAATAGGGGAGGGGAAGGGGGCTCTGAAATAAATAAGAGAGAGGGGGAGGCGGTGATAGAAGGTGGATAGTGGAGCAGATAGGTGGAGAGAAGATGGACGGGTCAAGGAAGCGGGGAGGAAGCTAGTAAAGATGAGTGTAGGTAGGGAGTTGGGATGGAGGTTGGTCAGTGAGGAGGGAGGGGCAGGTAGGTGGGAGGGAAGACGGACAGGTCAAGGAGGCAGGGATGAGAGGCGGGGGCTGGTTTTGGAATGAGTTCAGGGGTGGGGAGATTTTGAAGCTTGTAAAGTCCACATTGAGACCATTGGGTTGTAGGGTTCCAAGGCGGAATATGAGGTGATGTTCCTCCAGTTTTCAGTGGTATCGTTGTGACACTGGAGGAGGCCCAGGATGGACATGTCGTCCAGGGAGCAGGAGGGGGAGTTGAAGTGGTTCACGACTGGGAGGCGTTGTCGTTTATTGTGAACCGAGCGTAGGTGCTCCACAAAGCAGTCTCTGAGCCTCCGCTTGGTCTCTCCGATGTAGAGGAGGCCACATCGGGAACAGCGGACACAAGAGACAACATTAGTGGATGTGCAGGTGAACATCTATTTAATGTGGAAGCTTTACTTGGGGCCTGGGATTGAGGTGAGAGGGGAGGTGTAGGGGCAGGTGTAGCACCTCCCACGGTTGCAGGGAAAAGTGCCGGGGTGGTGGGGCTAGTGGGGAGTATGGAGCGGATGAGGGAGTCGCAGAGAGAGCAGTCCCTCCAGAAGGCAGATAAGGGTAGGGAGGGAAATATATCCTTCATAGTGGGATCAGATTGCAGGTGGCGGAAGTGGCAGAGAATGATGCGCTGAATCTGGAGGTTAATGGGGTGATACGTGAGGACAAGGGGAATTCTGTCATAGTTTTTATTGCGGGGAGGGGGTGTGAGGCCTGAGGTGCGAGAAATGCAAGAGATGCGGTCGAGGGTGTTTTCGACCTCTGTGGGGGGGGGAATTGCGGTCCTTGAAAAACGAGGACATCTGGGATGTCTGGGAGTGGAACGCCTCATCTTGGGAGCAGATGCGACGAGGTAGAGGAATTGGGAATAGGGGATCACGTCCTTGCAGGAAGGTGGGTGAGAGGAGGTGTAGTCTAGGTAGCTGTGGGAGTCGGTGGGCTTGAAATAGATATTAGTTTCTAGGTCGTTACCAGAGATGGAGACAGAGAGGTTCAGGAAGGAGAGAGAGGTATCAGAGATGGTCCAGGTGAATTTAAGGTTGGGGTGGAAGGTGTTTGTGAAGTGGATGAACTGTTCGAGCTCCTCGTGGGAGCACAAGGCAGTGCCGATACAGTGGTAGAAGGCATTAGTAAAGTGGATGAACTATTCGAGCTTGGTGGAAGGTGTTAGTAAAGCGGATGAACTGTTCGAGCTCCTGCAATCTGACCCTACTACGAGGGATACATTTCCCTCCCCACCCTTATTTGCCTTCCGGGGGGACCGCTCTCTCCACGATTCCCTCGTCCGCTCCACACTCTCCACTGGCCCCACCATCCCCGGCACCTTTCCCTGCAACCTTTCCTGATGTGGTCCCCTCTACATCAGGGAGACCAAGCAGAGGCTCGGAGACCGCTTTGTGGAGCACCTACGCTCGATTCGTGACAAACGATAACACCTCCCAGTCACGAACCACTTCAACTCCCCCTCCCACTCCCTGGACGACATGTCCATCCTGGGCCTCCTCCAGTGTCACAACGATGCCAGCCGAACACTGGAGGAACATCACCTCATATTCCACCTTGGAACCCTATAACCCAGTGGTCTCAATGTGGACTTTACGAGCTTCAATATCTCCCCACCCCAACCTCATCCCAAGACCAGTACCCCCTCTCGTCCCCGCCTCCCTGTCCTGTCCATCTTCTGTCCCACCTATCTGCCCCTCCCTCCTCACTGACCAACCCCCATCCCAATTTCCTACCTACACTCACCTTTACTAGCTTCATCCCCGCCTCCTTAACCTGTCCGTCTTCTCTCCACTTATCTGCTCCACTATCCACCTTCTATCACCGCCTCCCCCTCTCTCTGTGTATTTCAGAGCCCCCTTCCCCTCCCCCATTTCTGAAGAAGGATCCAGACCCAAAACGTCAGCTTTCCTGCTCCTCTGATGCTGCCTGGCCTGCTGCGTTCATCCAGCTCCACACCTTGTTACCTCAGACTCCAGCATCTGCAATTCCTACTATCTCTTTGTACATCTTGAGTTCTCAGTAAACTTCTGGTTTCAAGTTGCTTTTTTTACACAAGGTACCTGTGAGTTTGAGAGACTGTCTATAGTGTCTCCAGTTCTTGCTTATAAATCCAACTTTTCTTGTTTGACTTTGTTGTCCCAAGCTGTTGATATAGGTCCAGTTTCTTGTCTCTGAGTCTGCTCATTTCTTTTCCAAGCTGGCTAACTGGCTTTTCACCTCCCAAAATTTGAAATTATCATACACACGTGAATGAAACAGATGATGAATTTCTTGAGCTGACGCAGTTGTCTGGTTTTACGCAATTTCAGTGCAGACTGGTTTCGTATATCTCACACCGGTTTCACAAATCTTGACTCAATCTGTGGTCAGGTGATCATAGCAGGCATTTTTAATCAGTAGCATCCTTTTCAAAAGTCACTTTAGTTCATGAAGGTCTTGGGTCTTAAAATCAGATGATGGAATTAGAATATTGATAGTCTATTTTGACTGCGAGCATAACAAACTCACAAGCGCCATAAATGACTTGTTTACTTTCCTCTGCCAAACATTCCCTACCAGTAGTTCAGGAAAACAGTTGTTGAAATCTAGGAACAGCTCAGATCATGGTTGATCTTTTCTCGTTGAGAGGAAACAGTGTTGAAATAAAAATGGAAGGCCAGGTACAATCAAGTATTGAAACTAAACATTTAACTATTAAAAAATGTTACCATTTTACCTCTAAGAAACAGCAAAATTTTGCACAAACAGCTTTTTTGAGGTATTAACCATTGTATTTTGCAACAGGGTTTTGAATATAAAGAAATAATTGGAAGATGCTGTGGTGAATGTGTCCAAACTAGATGCGTGATACACCCAGGAGACCAATCTATTCAACTATTACTGGTTTGTATAATTAGGTTATTTTAAAAATTAATAGTTGATTCTCTGCTGTTTTGTTTTGTGTCAGTGAATCAGTAATTATTACCAGTTGGTCCGAATATGATAAATTAGAGTACATGGCCGCTTTCTTACCTAACTTCATCAACATTCCCTGCTCAGCTTCGAAGGAACAGCTAAGATCTCCAAGTCTTGGTCTGCTTTCTCTCCCCTTCTTCCTTTGTCATTCTGTTTGCTGTTATACTTTCTTTTTCACTCCATCATTTTTATTTCTCTTCCATTGGTTCTTTTCCTACCTTTGTGTCATTTTCTGCTGTTTTTCTTTCAGTTTGGAGGTATGGGATTACATTGTGAGAAAAAGATCCACCAAAGCATTCAGGCTATATTGAGGTGAAAGTTGCTAGGAAAATGTAGTTTTCAGTGGCTTTTTTCAAATTGCTTGCCCCAGGTTCATGTGTTTCCCCCTACTTCTTCATCTCTTTACTTCACATCAATCACATCATTATCCTACTTTTCTACTACTTACTCAACATCTGGCCCTTTTCTTACCCCTTGTTCTGCTTTATTCAATCCACTGTTAACCTTCAATCAGCTCTACCCAGGTCATTACATTTTCACTCAAAGTTTTATTTCCTTCCAAAATTCATCTGGTTAAAAATAAACCAAATTAGAATGAAGAGATAAACTGTCTGCCTCCTTTCTCTATATTTGGGTCTTCCTGAATATCTGAAAAATGCTAAAATTAAAATTTTTGTCTTTATCTAAAAACAAAAATTGAGTTTTTCCATAATAATGGGAATATGGTTAGCCATTCACTGCTTTAAGCCTGAATAGGTATTGAATTAGGTCATAGAAAATCATCATTTCAACTTGCCATTTGGCAGCCCACATCTAGATATTGCCCATTTTTGTTGAATTGGAGGTGGACTGTTTCAGTATGTGAAGAGTCACGAATGGTGCTGAACATTGTGCAATCATCAGCAAATATCCCCACTTCTGACCTTATGATGGATGGAAGGTGCTGAAGATAGTTGTGTTTGAGATACTACCCCGAAGAACTTCTGAAGCTGAGATGACTGACCTCCAACAACCACAACCATCTTCCTATGTGCCATGTATGGCTCCAACCAGTGAAGAGTTCTCCCCTGATTCCCACTGAATCCAGTCAAATATGGCTTTGAAGTCAAGGACAGTAACTCTTACCTCACCTCTGGAATTCAGCTCTTTTGTTTATGTTTAAACTTTAAACTTCAAGGGAAGACGATGGCTTAGTCGTATTATTGCTAGACTGTTAATCCAGAGACCCAGATAACATTCTGAGGACCTGGGTCCGAATCCTGCCATGGCAGATGGTGGAATTTGAATTCAATAAATATCTGGAATTAAGAATCTAATGATGACCGTGAATCCATTGTTGATTGTTGGAAAAACTCATCTGGTTCACTCATGTCCTTTAGGGAAGGAGACTGCCATCCTTACCTGATCTGGCCTACATGTGACTCCAGACCCACAGCAATGTGGTGACTCTTAACTGCCCTCTGGGTAATTAGGGATGGGCAATAAATGCTGCCTAGCCAGCGATGCCCATAGTCTGTGAATGAATAAAGAAAAGAAAGCCTTAATGAGGTCAGGAGGTGAGTGGACCTAGCAGAACCCAAACTGTGTGTCAGTGAGTGCTTCCTTCATAGAAATACAAACAAGAGTAGGCTGTTGGGCCCCCAAGCCTGCTCTACCATTCAGTAGGATGGCATTCCTTACATTCACTTTCCAGCTCAACAATTTCACATCACCATGCATTAATCAACACCTTCAACTCATTTATCTTACTCACATTGCATTAAAATCAATGCCATCCACTTTGTGCCTTAATTGTATTTGCACTGCCTTCTAAACTGATTTACAGTCATAGAGCCATTGAGCTTGTACAGTGGCCCATGTGCCCATCTCATCAAGGTCCCATTGTACTGTGAGGTAATCTTTACTGTCCACTACACCACCAATTTTGGTATTATCTACAAACTTACTAACCACACCTCCTATGTTCACATCCAAATCATTTCTATAAAAGACAAAAAGCAATGGACCCAGCATTGATCCTTGTGGCACACTGTTGGTCACAGGCCTCCAGTCTGAAAAGCAACCCTCTGCCACCACCCTTTGTCTCCTGCCTTTGAGCCAGTACTGTATCCAAATTGCTAGTTCTCCCTGTATTCTATGTGATCTAACCTTGCTAACCAGTCTAACTAGCGGAACTTTGTTGAACGCCTTACTGAAGTCTATATCGATCACATCCAACACTCTGCCTTCATTAATCCTCTTTGTTACTTCTTCAAAAAACTCAATTAAGTTAATGAAATACGATTTCCCACACACAAAGCTATGTTGACTATCTCTAATCCATCCTTGCCTTTCCAAATACATGTAAATCCTGCCCCTCAGGATCCCCTCCAACAACTTGCCCACCACTGATGTCAGGCTCACCAGTCTATAGTTCCCTGGCTTTTCCTTACCACCTTCCTTAAATAGTAGCACCAGATTAGCCAACTTCTGGTCTTCCAGCACCTCACTTGTGGCTTAATTTCTCTTATTTACTTGTCTGTGCCTCGCCCCCTAATGTAACACCACTCCATATACCCTTCCAAATGAGTTTAAACTCCAACTAACAGCATTAGCAAACCCCACCCCCTTGCAAGATATTGGTCCTGTCCGCTCATGTGCTATCAGGCTATATCTTAAATCCAGATTTGTTTGAATTCAAATTTCACTATCTGCAATGTTGGGTTTCAAACCCATGGACTAAAACATTAGTGTGGGGCTCTGGATTACTGATCCAGTAACATTATCATTATGCTTCAACCTCCTGGATGGCGACCACTTTATTTCCATGCATTTGTATTTCATCTGGATCTTGCCTTATTTAAGTGCCACTTCCAGCTCCTCTTTCTCCTGCTAAGAAACAAGCCAGTCCAAATCAAAGCAGCTGGTTACAGATCACCAAATGCATGCCTGCTTTTGGACCAACTAAGACACCACTTCAGCCCTTAAACACTTTATGTTGGAACTCAGGGATCTCTATGACTTGCATTCTTCTGCCAGGTCACTTTGCATACAAGGATACAGATGCACCTCATGCATTTGAACAAGGATGCTCTGATGAATCTTATGGCTCTTAACCTTGCTTTCTTAGCTTTCACTCACTTTACCACTTACTTGGAGGCTGTCAGCCTTTGGTTACTTTATATTGCTTTCTTCATACACACTCACTGACTTCAGCACTGACTTACAGGTCGCCAGATTCTATTTGGCTTGCATTGCTTTCCTAGCACAGTGTCTTTAGTGCTCAGCTTAGCAGCCTCTGTACTGCTTTTAGGTACAGACAGAGAGGCAGGCAAGTGATGGTAGGGAGCACTGAACATTCCATCTATCAGTGAGTAAAGGGGTGGTCATGGCATTGTGTCGCACAGTGCTACATCAACATCACACCTGACGCATGTATCACCAATTTCCGTGGCAAACGTACTGCATATACTTAAAACAAATAGTCATATACAGATGTCAAAGGGGAGCAGTCCTTGGTGGAACGAAGTGGACTACACTCCGATAACACTACAGAGAGTTGGCCATTGTCAATCGGTGCTTCGTCTTACCAGAGCTCAGGATCTGTGTCCTTGCAATCTGGCGAATGGGTCATGGTCAGTCCTGCAGGTCAAACGCAAGCAGTCCTAAGATTGTGGGAAAGCCAGTGAGGGCGCTATTGAGTCTTCTAGGGCTTCTTTTTTCTGCTTCGAAACAAAGGAAGGCATTGAGACTGATGGAAATGTATGGAAGAGCAATCAGTTAATGCATGAGCAGAGATGCTGAACTGTCCCCAGTAAGTGAGTATTGCTGAATGCAGGAGGAATTAGTCATTTGGGAGGATGAAGTGGGTGAGAATCATTGATTGTATATTATGCATGCAGACTTAGTGAGATTGGTATGCAGTGGTAGAGTTACAGTGATTGTTGGTCCTGTAAGAGTAAGGTAACAAAGAGAATATCATTGACTTTCTTCCCACACTGCTGGGCATTCCTTTTCATCCAGGACACAGCATGTATCTGGGCTACAATTTGGGTCCACACTGGCAAGGTCTTCTGGCGTGATTTGTGGAAGTCAGCTGGAAGAGGATTGCTGTCCTCTCCACCATTACATCTACCAACAATTCAAGGTCTCTGTTCATGAAGTGGGAGCAAACTTTCCTTTCCTATTTGCCATGTGTTGAATGTTGAGGCTTAGGCATCACAGTGTGAGTGCCAGTTCCTGGCTTGCAGCATAGAATAGAATTCCTACAGCATGGAAATAGGCCATTTGGCCCATCGAGTCCACATTGACTCTCCGAAGAGTATTCCACCGCCCCTACCCTATTCCTGTAACACTGCAATTCCCATGGCTAATCTATCTATCGGGAATTTAGCATGGCCAATCCACCTAACCTGCACATTTTTGGAGTGTGGGAGGAAACTGGAGCACCCGGAGGAAATGCCCGCAGACAGCAAGAATGCACAAGCTCCGCACAGTCACCCAAGGCTGAGAATTGAACCCGGGTGCCTGGTTTTATGAGGCAGCAGTGCTAACCACTGAGCCACTGTGCCACCCTTCAACATTCACACATGGCAAAAAGGAAAGGAAAGTTTGCTCCCACTTCATGGGTAGAGACTTTCAGTTGTTGGTAGATGGAATGGTGGAGTGGAGAACTATGTGGTGTGTAGCTGAACTTTAAAAATGGCACCAGAGACATGAAAGCTGAAGGGCCTGGCAGTGGTGGATGTTCCTACTTCTCCAGCTATGCACTTCACAGAGAAAGGCAACCATGAACCCAGTGCATGATTAATGAGGTTAAGAGTGGAACATTGCATGAGAAATAGCTGATTCGGTATCATGAGTCTCACTCAACTAAACATTTTCTTTGAAAATGAGAAATGCCCACAATGTCTAACCAATGGTCCATACAATGAAGTATCATTTCCTTACCTTTGATATATTTCAATCTTCCTGGTATAAAATTCAATATTCATTTCACTTTAATTGATCTATTGTATTTAATTGATTTGTATCTATGCATTAAAGTTAGAATTTTCCCAGCCTGTGAGCCGAGCGGGCAATGGTAAGAAATGTAGGAAAATATAGTGAGACTGAGAAAATCTAAATCTCGATGTCAAGCAAATGTTCTCATTTTCCCCTAAAAGTTTCAACCATGATTTCTGATTCTCATTGATAAGCAGTGACAGCATCCTTTATGTGCATTTGCATCTTGCTATTAACTAATCTCACTTGGAAGTTACAGTAGTTACCTAGCAAATGCAGCTCACTGTTTGCTTTGCCAGTCTCCATTTTAATGTATCTTCACCAATATACATACATACATACAATCCCTACAGTGGAGAAACAGGGCCTTCGGCCCAACAAGTCCACACCGACCCTCAGCGCATCCCACCCAGACCCATACCCCTATAACCCAACTAATCTACACATCCCTCAACACTATGGGCAATTTTCCATGGCCAATCCACCTAGCCTGCACATTTCTGGACTATGGGAAATAACCGGAGCACGTGGAGGAAACCCACACAGACACAGGGAGAATGTGCAAACTCTACACGGACAGTCGCCCGAGGGTGGAATTGAACCCGGGTCCCTGGCGTTGTGAGGCAGCAGCGCTAACCACTGAGCCACAGTGCCACGCAAAGGAAGATGGGAACTTCTTTGAGCCGGAAATGAACCGACGACCTAATATGTCCCTGAATGTTCTAAGGACACCTCTACCTACCAAAGTTGGCATCAGCAAATCATCAACCTCAACATATTATCATAACTAATCTCAGATCAACTGAGAATCTATTTCAGCCCTTCAGGACTTCACTTTGGAGCTCCTGACACCTTTAACTTGCATACTCCTGCAGGATCACTTTGTCATCAGGGGCATATAGCCACCTTGCACATAGAGTCATTTACCACAGAAACAGACCTTTCGGTCCAGCCAGTCCATACCAAACATAATCCCAAACTAAACTAATCCCACCTGCCTGCTCCTGGCCCATATCCCTCCAACCTTTCCTATTCATGTACTTATCCAAATGTCTTTTAATGGTGTAATTGTGCCCACATCCACAACTTCCTCAGAAAGTTCATTCCACACATGAAATGTGCCCACTAGTCTTGAAATCTCCATCCTAGGGAAAAGACACCTACCATTAACCCTATCTATTTCCCTCATGATTTTATAAATGTCTGTAAGGTCACCTCTCAAACTCCTATGCTCCAGTGGAAAAAAGTCTCAGCTTATCCAGCCTTTCTTTATAATTCAAACCTTCCGTACCTGGCAACATCCTGGTAAATCTCTTGTGAACGCTTTCCACCTTAATAATATCTTTCCTATAATTGGACAAGCAGAACTGAACACAGTACTCCAGAAGAGACCTCACCAATGTCCTGTAAAACTCACCATGACTTCCCAACTCCCATACTCAAAAGGACTGGGTAATGGAGGCAGGCATGCTAAATGCCTTTTTAACCACCCTGTCTATGTGTAATGCAAACTTAAAAGAATTATGTACCTGAACCCCCAGGTCCTTCTGTTCTACAGCACTACCTAAGACCTGTCCATTAATTGTATAAGTCTTACCCATGTTTGTTGTACCAAAATGCAATACCCCTCATTTATCCAGATTGAACTCCATCTGCCATTTTTCAGCTCATTGACCCATTTGATCAAGATCCCTTTGTAACCTTAGAAAATCTTCTTCACTGTACGCTATGCCACTAATTTTCATGTCATGCACAAACTTACTAACATTGCCTACTATATTCTCATCCAAATCATTTACATTAATGACAAATGAAAGAGGACCCAGAATCGATCCCAAACAAAAACAGAAATTGCTGAAAAAGCTCAGCTGGTCTGGCAACATCTGTAGAGAATTTCCTCAGTTCTGAGGAAGGGTCACTGGACCTAAAACGTTAACTCTGATTTCTCCCCACAAATGCTGCCAGACCTGCTGAGCTTTTCCAGCAATTTCTGTTTCTGTTTCTGATTTACAGCATCCGCAGTTCTTTCGGTTTTTGATCAGAACCAATCCCTGTGGAACAATGCTGGTGACAGGCCTCCATTCTGAAAAACAACCCTCCACCACCCCTCTCTGTCTCCTGTCATTAAACCAATTGTGTATCCAATTGGTAATTTGTACAGGATGCATCTTATGGCTCTTAGCTTCATTTTTTACACTCTGTCAAGTGCTTACTTGGAGGCTACCAACAATCGTGGGTTACACAGCTTTTTAACTAGAGAGCAGGAATAGTGCATACTGTTTGCAATAGTGAGGTTAACAGTCCATGAGAATTAGTGAGGTTTGTATGCAGTGGCAGAGTTTCAGTGAGTATGAGGAATCAGAAAGAAGATGGTGGGACTTACCTTTGTGCAACAAAATAGAACTGCAGATGCTGGAATCAGAGATAACACAGTGTGGAGCTGGAGGAACACAGCAGACCAGGCAGCATCAGAGGAGCAGGAAAGTTGAGGTTTCAGGTCAGGAATTGCTGACCTTTTCCTGCACTGTTGTGGATTTCTTCTGGCCCCAAAGACAGGGCTGACCAGGCTATTAACAGTGTTCAGGTGTTTGGTGCCTTGACCTCTTTCTGGTGATCATCCGGGCAAAGAATGGCCCTCCTCTCAACCACCATATCCACCAGGACCCCGCAGGTTCCTATCTCAAAAGTAAAGTGCCAGCTTTCCTTTCTGAGACATTTCAGAATGGTTTCAGTAGCCTGCATACCAGGAGGTCTAGCAGTGGTGAGAATTTTACCTCTGCTGTTTCATGATAGCTTGACAAGGAAGTCAAAGAGTCTAACTGCATAATTAATAAAGGTAGGAATGGAAGACAGCATCAGAAAAACCATTATGAGTCATCACAAGACACCTGCCATGAAAATCCTCAAAATAACACCTTGTTGTGAAGAAGGGTCACTGGACTTGAAATGTTTTCTCTGCTTTCTCTCCACAGATGCTGACAGACCTCTGAATTTCTCCAGCAATTTCTGTTTATGTTTCAGATTTCCAGCATCTCTGGTTCCCTATTTTATCAACATTCAACTGTTTACCTTCTTGACAGTTGAAATAACATTGAATGAAGACACACATAGTTTTCTCTAATCTCTTGTCTATTAGGTTTAGATGAAGTTATAAAAGCAGATGAGCCATGTTCTAATTCAAGGATGGAACAGACTTGAGTAACCGAAAAGCCTACTCCTCAGTCGTATTTTTTAAAAATACACACTATCAATTTGAACTCAAGAGATCCTGAAATTTGCCTTTCTGCCTTTCAAAAGGCTGACAAAAAGGAATTGCCAAATACTTAAACAAAGTTTTAGTGATTCAGCTGACTGAATGATGCATTCTATGGAATTATGTACACTAAATGTGCTCAGTTCATCTTTCAAGAGTCAGTGCTCTGCACTAAAATATCCCCAAGTCCAAGATTAGATTTTTGGATGAGGCAAAGTCTTCAAGTAAAAACTTTATTGAATGATTTAGAACTTTACTAGAGATCATTTGTTATCTACATTTTTCATGCTTTTTTGAAGTTTGCTGGTTTATTTTGATCTAGTCCTTGGTTTGGGACATTATAAATATCAATTGCTGTGAAAAAGTGGTCATGAAAATATTCAAACATTTTGAGTGATTTCTGGAAATTTCATGGGCAGATTGCAACAATAAAATGATATGCTGTCACTTTAAAATAATGGCTGCCTTTTGTCACATGACACATCTAGAATTGACAATATCTATTATAGCATTATCCTAACATGTAACAGGTATTGTCTATTCTCAATTAAACAGAATCTCATATTCATAATTTAATATGTAATAATGTAACTTTTTGAATTCACTATTATCTTTTGTCTTGCCATTCTAGCCTGGCTATATGTGGCCATCACCTTATAACAACTGTACAGTCTATGGATGTCTTCAAATTAATGATAGCTTAATATCGACTAGTTCCAAGCTTGTTTGTCCTGATTTTCATCCAGAAGACTGTGAACCGGTGAGTATGCAAAAATTTCAACAAAATACTTAATGGAATTCCAATTGTATGGTTTAAAATTCAACCAAACATATAACGGTATTAAAATTATTTTCATGTTGTCTTTCAATATTTGTACACAGCAATTCAAATAGAATAAGGAAATAAAGTATTTGCTGATTTAGCATACAAAAATTCTAACTGAAAGAGACTTGACCTGGTTCAAGCCATGCAGCAAAAATATGCAGCTCTCTTCTGCTGTTACTTGCATCTTCACCGTGGACAAAGATTATAAGTTAAAAGTATTACATGCAGATCTCAAAAAGATGAACAAGCACATTATTGTTAAGTCAAAATCATACAACTGACAAATGTTAATTTGGATCATGAATAAAATCTTGTGCCAGCATGTTATTAGTTGTTGGATGTTTAATAAGCGCTTTTTATGATGCTTTTAGAAAAATATATAATTCAATGTACCGTTATCTTTAACAATGTATGAAATTTTACAATTAAAACTTTGATATTTCAGGGCACAATTATGATGACTGATGATGGCTGTTGTCAAACATGTAAGTTTGAAAACTGACGATATTCTTATGAATAAAGTCTAAAAATTAGTTCCTTGTCTTTTAAACAACTCAGTAGAGAAAGGTCCTCTGTTTAGACACCTGGCTTTTTGATGAATAATATAACAGTCAATGTCTTTATGCATATATAACTTTGACAAATGTGAAGTCTGCACTCCATAATTTGACTCATTTTCAATCATTGGTTCCTTATGTAAAACAACTGTGTTTCTTCTGATCAAGACTTCATGTTTATTGGCCAATGTTTAGGTAGACATTAATGATTTAAACCCTTTCCTGACATTATGGCTAAGATTCTTGTTAACTCAGAAACACTACAAAACCTGTTTCCGGATCCTGATTCCCGGCATCCTTCTAGACGGTAATGGTTGTGAGTTTGGAAACTACGGTTTAAAGGGGTCTTGGTGAAGTTCTGTGAGTCTTGTTAATGGTACACACTGCCACTATTGAGTATCACTAGGTGTGAGAGTGAATGGAGTTTGCAGATGTGATGCTTTCTTCCAGATGGTGTCAAACTTCTGAATATTGCTGTGTAGGTAAGTTGGGATTATTCCATTACATTGCTAACATCCTTTAAAATTCATTCGTAGTATATAGGTGCCACACTTATTGCCTGTCCCTAATTGTCCAGACGACAGTTAAGACTCAACCACATTGCTGTGGGTCTGGAGCTACATGTACGCCAACGCAGGTAAAGACAACAAATTTCTGTCTTTAAAGGATATAAGTGCAATTGGCTGGGTTTTTACAACAATCAGCAATGGTTATATGGTCACAATTAGCTAGCCTTTTATTCCAGATCTTTAATGAATTCAAATTTCACCATTTGCCACAGTGGGATTCAAATTCATGTCCCCATAGCATTAATCTGGGGTTCTGGATTACTTGTCCTATAAAATTACCACTGCCCACTGACCCCAAAAACATATGTCTGATAGATGATGCAGGTTTGGGGAGTCAGGAGATGAGTTATCCTCTGCAGAATTCCCACTCTGACCTGCCTTTGAAGCCACAGTATTCGTATGGCTAGTCCTGTTGAGTTTCTGGTCAATGGTAACCTTCAAGATGTTGATAATAATGGTAATGTCATTAAAAGTTAAGGGACAATGGTTAAATGCTCTTTTGTAGGAGATGGTAATAGCTAGTATGGCACAAATGTTACTTTCTACTTATCAGCCAAGCCTGGATATCATCTATTATTATAATTTCATTTCATGTACCATATACTTCATATCATATCATAATTTATTATTTTTAAAGTAGAGAAAGAAAATGTAAGGGAAATAATTTAAGACTTGGGTGGCAGCTCAGTCAGAGACCCTTACAATGTTCAAGGTGAGTACCTGTATAGGAAGTGTTTCTACCTGCATTTCAGGTCTGGACTAGTGGCTGGATCATCTGCAAGACTGAGATTTTCTGAACGGCATGTACAGTCAAGTGTTCACCATGCAAGCAAAGAGTTCACTGGCAGAAATGTATCAGCTATTATCAAACAAAGTAAAAATACTAGGCATATTGTTGAGGAGTCCCCTGGGTTCATCTCCCTCTCTGACAGATTTTCCATTTTGCATGGCACTGGGGGAAATGATTTCCGAGGGGAGTGCAGTGAAAGTCAAGTCTGCGACACCATGATTGACTCACCTGCATGGAGTAAACGGTTAAAGAGTATCACTGATAGGGCATTCTGTCATAAGGACAACAGATAGACATCTCTATAGCCAAAGATATGATACCAGGATGTTGCCTCCCTGTGCCAGCGTTCGGAAGGGAGAGGATGAACAGGGTTATTATCTTAGCTGATGTTACCCCTGGATAATTCAGATCCTAAAATGAAATCTGACTTGACAGATCATATGTTGTTTTTATTTCATCTTTAACTGAACCATGAATACACAAAGCTGCAGATTTAGTTTTAACATTAATTTCAAGGTGAGAGGGGAAAAGTTTAAGGGAGATATGCGTGGAAAGTTCTTTACGCAGAGGGTGGTGGGTGCCTGGAACGCGTTGCCAGTGGAGGTGGTAGAGGCAGGCACGATAGCGTCATTTAAGATGTATCTAGACAGATACATGAATGGGCAGGGAGCAGAGGGATACAGATCCTTGGAAAATAGGCAACAGGTTTAGATAGAGGATCTGGATCGGTGCAGGCTTGTAGGGCCGAAGGGCCTGTTCCTGTGCTGTCATTTTCTTTGTTCTTTGTTCTAAAATAAGTTTATTGCACAACAGAAATGAAAATAAATTAAACCAACCCTATTCAAATACACCACACTTCATAAATTTTCAAAACACATGACAATGCAAAATCTCATCTATCCCCAACAACATCACAATACAGTTACACAAAAGTCCAGAGAAATTCCTTCCCAATTGAATCTATAGGTTTGACTTAACTGCTTCTTCTCAGTTCTGATCCCTTGACTATTCACATAACTTACTCATTGTTTTAATAATCTGCATAGTTTCAATCAAATACTCCCAGTGTGGAAACTCCACAAACTACACCCTTATTTGATTAACTGCTGAACAATCTCATTTTCTAGGAGAGACTACTTGCTTCTGAGCCCAATCAGGTATTCTTCGAACTGCCCAAAAGCTTTTGAACTAAATCAAAACTTGTTCATCTCAGTTTCTGCTTAAAAAATGGCTTAATGTTCTCTCTCTACGGTCATAAACTCCTTCAGTATAAACAAAATTATATTGACACTCCAGGAATAACAGATTTCTTTAAAATCATGGTTTTAGAAAGACTGACCTAGTTGATTTCAGACCCCTTCACAAAATTAGACTAATACCCATATGTCAATTTTTTTGAAATCCAAAGTCTGAAAAATGATGTTTATAGATCATACATCTTTCTTTAAATAGTCAGAGTTGTAATCCATTTTAGAAACAACAATAGGGGTAAACTGAGGGATGAAGTCCTGTAGCCAGAATATAAAGGAACTGAGAAATTAAAAACTGAACCTCAAACGTGGTAAAATCAGGATTGTGGCACATGCTACAGACATTAGGAGTAGGAGAATAGATCAGGTGAATTTGTGGCTGGAGAACTGGTGTAGGATGGCAAGCTTTAGATTTCCGAGGCAATGGGATGGATTCCGAGGAAGATAGAACCTGTACCATCTTGATGGGTTGCACCCCAACGTAACTAGAATCAATATTCTCACAGGCCATAGCATGATCAAAATGTGTAGCAATGTTAAAAATCCAAGTCAAAACATATATCTAAAGGAACATTCATAATAGGATAGATGACTAAACAGTGCAAACACTTGTAAACATATGTGCTATAACTGTGATCATGGACTCATGGCTACAGGGTCACCAGGGCTGGGAAATGAATCCATGGATATTCAACATTTTGGAAGCACAGGCAGAAATGAAAAAGAGATAGGGTTGACTTGTTAGTAAAGGCTGAAATCAATGCAATAGTGATAAAGGATATTGGCTTGGAAAACCTAGATATAGAATCAGTTTGATGCTAAGAAGGGACAAAGGGAAGAAAATGTTAGTGGATTGCCTATTAGCATCCAAACTGTAGTAGTGAAGCAGAGAATGGCATGAATCAGGAAATTAGAGCTACATGTAACAAGGGATACATGTAAGAAGTTCTGAGGAAGGGTCACCAGACCCGAAACGTTAACTCTGATTTTTTTCTTCACAGATACTGGCAGACCTGCTGAGCCTTTCCAGCATCTTCCATTTTTGTTTCTAGAGTTAGTATTGTGCCATGAAAAGGTGTTAATTGCAGAGTCCTTTAGGAAACCATAACATAATAGGATCCTTTGTTGGGATAGAAAGTGAAGTAGTCCAATCCAAGGCTAAGATCGTAATTCTAAACAAAGGAAATTACAAAGGTGAATAGTGGATAGGCAATGCCAATAATTAAGGAATAAATTCATGTTTTGTAATAGTTCTATATTTCTTCCCATCTCAAAAGTACACCAGGAGAAGTGGCCCAGCTATAGCTGACAGAAGATATTAAAAATAGTATTAAATCCAAAGAGGAATCATAGAACATTGCTAGAAAAAGTAGGAAACCCGAGGACTGGGAGCAGTTTAGAATTCACCAAGGAATTAATTAAGAGGGGACAAATAGAGTATGAGAGTAAACTTGTAAGGAATGTAAAAGACCATAAAATCTTTTATAAGTACGTAAAAAAAGTTAACGGAGATGGATAGAGGTCCTTTACAGTCTGAAATGGGAGAATTAATTGTTGAGGATAAGGAAGTAGAAGAGTAATTAAACAACTACTTTATTTCTGTCTTTACAGAAGGAGACACAACTGACTTTGCAGAAATGCTAGGGAAGTGAGGGTCTACGGGGAAGGAGGAATTGAAGGAAGTAGCATTATTTTTTAAAAAGTGGAATAATTTAATTAAGGTGGCATGGTGGCTCAGTCGTTAGCATTGCTACCTCACAGCTCCAGGGACCCAGGTTCTATTCCACCCGAGGGCGACTGTCTGTGTGGAGTTTGTTGCACTTTCTCCCTGTGTCTGTGTGGGTTAGCTCTGGTTTCCACCCACAGTCCAAGATGTGCAGGCTAGGTGGATTAGCCATGGGAAATGCAGGGATAGGGGGTTGGGTCTGTGTGGGATGCTCTTTGGAAGGTTGCTGTGGACTCAAATGGACCTCTTCCACATTGTTGGAATTCTATGAAATTAATATGACTGAAAGCTGACAAATTTCCAGGTCTAATCTACTTGCTGGGGGCAAAAGCAAGTGGCCATGGAGATCATTGATATATTTGTTTTTATCTTCCAAAATTCTGTAGTTTCTGGAAAGTCATTGCAGATTGAAGGGTGACAAATATAACCCAACAGTTAAAAAAGGAAGAAGAAAACAGGAATTACAAACATGGTCATCTCACATTAGTAACACAGACAATGCTGGAATCTATTGTAAAAGATGCAACAACAGAACACATGGAAAACAATCAGTGGGATCAGACAAAGTTAATATAATTTATCAAAGTAAAATCAAGATTGACAAACCAACTGGAGTTTTTTTGAAAACCAAAAGAACTGCAGATGCTGTAAATCAGGAACAAAAACAGAAGTTGCCCTTCAGGGTCACCGGACCCAAAACATTAACTGATTTTTTCTTCACAGATGCTGCCAGACCTGCTGAGCTTTTCCAGCAACTTCTATTTTTGGACCTGAAGTTTTTTTGAATTGTGTAACTAGTGAAAAGAGGACTGGTGGATGTGGTGTTTGTAATTTTCAGACAGCTTTTGTTCTTCCATACAAGATGCTCGTGTATAATATTAAAGTACATGGGGTTGGGGGTAATGGACTGAAAATTTGCTAGCAGATACAAGAGTGTAGAAATAAATAGATCTTTTAAAAAGTGGTAGCTGGAGACTAGTGACATGCCACAGTGATCATTGCTTGGGCCTCAGGCCTTCACGATGTATATCAACAAATTGGATGAGAGGATTAAATGTAATGGACCCGATTTTCCAAGGGGGAAAAAAGGCAGAATTCTGGAGGAACTTAGTATGTATGGTAGCACCTGTGGAGAGAGAAACAGCGTTAAGAGAATTCTGAAGGAAAGTCATAATGGACTCAAAACGTTAACTCTGTTTTTCTCCAAAGATGTTGCTACACCTGCTGAATTTCTCCTGCATTCTCTGTGATTGCTGCAGATTTCCAGCATCCACAGTATTTTGTTTTAATTCAGGGTTTTTCCAAATAGTCTAGCCCTGCTTTCTCACAAAAGCATGGGGCTGTTCATTTCTGAGAGGAGATTTCACTCAGGGCTCCATCAGAAATGCAAACCATACTTCTATCCTGACAGTTCTTTCATAGCATAGAACTATCAAAGAAAGGCAAATCACATCCCCTTTTCACAGCAGTCAACTGCCATATTTTTACAGTTAAAGTCCTTAGCAGCAAATCTGACAGCTGCTGTCAAAGGGTAAACGCACAATATAAGTGTGATGTTAGGATGCTGAGATGGTAGGATGCCAGCTGGGGAAGGAGTGGAACACCAGATGGGTAGGTAGGGACTTGGGTGCCAGGTAAGTAGAATTCTAGGTGCATAGCAACATAGAAACAGGAGTAGGCCGTTCAGTTCTTTTTCTGCCATTCAATGAGATCATGACTGATATGTGGCCTGACTCCATATATCTGCCTTTGGCCTATATCTCATAATACCTTTGCTTAACAAAAATTTATCTCAGATTTAAATTGACAACTGATCCAGCATCACCTGTGGTTTATGGAAAAGAGTTCCGAACCTCAACCACACTTTGGGTGTAGAAGTGTTTCCTAAATCTCTCCTGAACAGTCTAGCCTTAATTCTCAGACTATGCCCCTAATTCGAAAATCCCTAAGCAGTGGAAATAATTTATCTCTATCTACTCTGAATTTTCCTGTGAACATCTTGAAGAATCAGCCAGTGAACCTTTACTGGACTGCCTCCAATGCCAGTACATCTTTCCTTAAATAAGGGGGACTGTTCATCGTATACTCCAGCTCTGATTTGATAGCTTTAATAAGACCTTTCTATTTTTATAATCTATTCCTTTTCAAGTCACAACCAACATTCTATTTGTCTTCTTTATTACCTGCTGAATTGGGATGCTAGCTTTTTGTGATTTATGCACAATGACTGCCAAATCTCCCTATGCTACAGCCATCTGCAGTCTTTCTCTATTTAAAAAGAAGTTGGTTAAGAAATAAGAGTGCGATGTGGGTAAGATGCCAGGTGAATAGGGTGCCAGGTGGCACTGCCATATATATAGGCTGCCAAGTAATTTATGAAATGCTTAGAGGAGATTTAGGCCAGTGGGAGGAGTTGTTAGGTTAGGGATGAGGGAGAGGACAGAGGACAGAGGAGGTGTCAGATCCAGGAGGGATAGGGAGTGTCACGAGTGGCGCACAGAAGATCGTTTCGGGTCCAGCAGAAAGCATGTGTGTTTCAAGACTGGAAGGGATTGAGCAATGTTGGGCCTGGCAGCAAGGTGGGGCAGGACCAGGAGTTGCAACTGGTGGAAAGGGCGTTGGGAGGGTAGTTGAGAGCAGTGAGTGGTGATTTGGAGATCAGTTTAATCATTACCAAGGAGTTGGTCTAGGTTTTTAATCCACTTACCTTTCCTGGATAACTATGAGCATAACTGAATGAGAACCCACCAAGTTCTCTGAATTTGATTCATTTGGAAGGTTCCAGAAGCAGGAGAATTGCCCATTGGGATCATCAATTTTCTGGTCACATAGTCAATATCATCTGGACCACAGGCTTCCCATGCACAATTCCAATCCATGCTGCTCCAACGACCGTCTGGCCATCCGATTATCGGAGCCCTTGTTTTTCTCTCAGATGCGGCCAGATCTGCTGAATATTTTAAACACTTCCTGTTTTTATTTCAAAGTTTTAGATCTGTAGTATTTTGCTTGCATTTTAGTATTGAGTTCAATATTTTACTCACCAATTTAATTGGTGAAAAAAGTAGTCACCTTTATTGTAAAGTTAACATTTCAAATGTAAATTGACAGGTATCATAAGTGAGATACTCTTTCCTCTAGCTTTAGGAAAATAAAAATAATATGCCTTTTTTTTAAATTATAATTCCAATGATTCTTTTTAGGTTTCAAATCTATTAGCGACAATAACTGCTGCTGTTCTCATTTCATGTTGAAATCCTGTCCTTTATTTCTAAATGTTCATGTTTATAATTATAATCTAGGCCAAGAAAAACAGAGTTGTAAGAGAACAAAAAAAATGATCCAGATAACGCATGATGGATGCCAATCATCAGAGAAAGTAGAAATTGCAGAATGTGAAGGGACGTGTGGTACTTACTCCATGTAAGTAGCAATTCCCTTATGTAACTCTCACCTCAAATGATCTTCCTTATATTGTATACAACAGATTAGTCTCATTTTGTTTTGTTCATAGCATGAGAGCATCACTGGTAAACATTTATTGCCCATGCTTTATATCCATTGAGAAGTCGGTGGTGAGCCACCATTTTGGAGTCAATGTCATATAGGTACATCCACGTGCTGGTTCAGAGGAAGTTCCAGAATTTTAACCCAGTGGCATTGGAGGAACACCAATATAATTCCAAGTCAGAATAGTGTGTGGCTTAGAGGGGAACTTGTAGGTGATGGATTCCCATGCGGTTGATTCCCTTATTCCTTAAGGTGGTGGAGATTTTCAAACAGCCTAAGAAAGTTGTTGCAGTTTGTCTCAAAGATGGTAAACAGTGCTGTCAGTGTGTTTCAGGATGGAGGCTGTGAAAGTTTGAGGTGGTGGATAGGGTGCTGAGCAAATGTGCTGCATAAGTGATTTTTCAGTTGCATTCATCCAGACAAGTGGAAAGAATTCCATTGCACTCATATCTTGTGCCTTGTAAATGGTGAACAGGCATTGAAGGAGCCAGGAGATGAGTTATTCACTGTTGAATTTCTAGCTCTTGATCTGCTCTTGTACCCCTATTAACAGTTTTAAAGACCGTAGCGAGTTTATGGAGGTGCCCATAAAATCCAACCAGTAGTCTGTCTACCACAAACTCGCACACACCTGTCCCTACCACAGCTTTACAAGTGGCAAGTGTATTGTGGGCAGCCTAACGACTAGTAGATCAAAAACCTTAAGTGAGCAATTAATTTCCCCTAAAAGGCATCACTCCTTCACACTGAGATTTAACTGCCAGATGGGAGATGCCTACTCCAACCATCTGGTGGGTGTGGTCTGGTGATGGGAAGTAGGGGACATCTCTTCAAAAGCCATCAACAGGTCCTTCTGAGTTGTAATGACCTCCATATTTCTCTCTTCCCCTGGCCTTTACTCCTACTTTCACAACAGAGAGGGCATGCCTGATTTGCACTGAGGGAGACCAATCTCATTTCCTGGGATTGAACCATTGCAGCTCACCTCCTGTTGGTCCTAATCTAATATCAGTGTGCCCCTCTGCCCCTGTGATGTGCCAGTATAAGAGACTTTCCTCTGATTGGCCAACTATTCTCTGATGAGGAATATCCTATGTTCCTGAGGAGCTCTTAATTGGAGGGACTTTGGTGGCCTGTAAAACTAAGCCCATTATTTACATGGTTGACTCAGTTCAGTTTCTGGTCAGTGAGTAACCCCAGGATGTTGATAGCGGAACACTTGGAATGGTAATGCTGTTGAAGACCAGGGTAAGATAGTTAGATTCTCCATAGTTAATGATATTCATTGCTTAGAACTTGTCACCAAAGTTACTTGCCACTTATCCAAACCCAGATTTGTCCAGATCTTATTGATTGCAGAATAGACTTTCTCAGGATCTGAAGAGTTTCACAGGGGCCTTAAAATTGTGCAATTATAGCAAACATCCCACTTTTGACCTTACAATGAAGGAAGGTCATAAATGAAGCTGCTGAAAATGGTTGGGTCCAGGACACTATTCTGAGGAACTCCTGCAGAGATGTCCTGAATCTGAGATGATTGACCTCCAACAATCATAATCTTCTTCCTTTGTGTTAGGAATCACTCCAACTAATGGAGAATTTTGCCCGTTATTCACATTCACTTCAATTTTATTGAAGCTCTTGTATGCCACACTCAATTAAATACTGCCTTGATGTCAAGGGCAGCCACTCTCATATCAGCATTAGAATTCAGCTGTTCAGACCAAGGCTGTAAAGAGGTCAACAGCCAAGTGGTCCTGGCAGAAACCAAATTGAGCAACAGTGAGCAGTTTGTTGTTGAGTACTTGGCGACAATGTTGATGACTTCTTCCATCAATTTGCTAATGATTGACAGCAGAATGGTAAATGACTGAATTTGATTTGTTTTTGCATTCAGAACATATCTGGGAAATTCTCCACATTATTGGATGAATTTTAATGCTGTAGCTTCGTGAAATAGCTTGGCAAGGAGTTCATATTTTCTCATGTTTTAATTCTCTTAAAATATGTCTAATAATAGGTATTCATCAGAAGTAAATTCAATGGAGCACAAATGTAACTGTTGTCAAGAGATGAAGACCCACAAAAGGGAGATTACTTTAATATGCCCTGATGGAAATACTATTCAATACTCTTATGTCTATGTGGATACATGTGACTGCATGGAAAATAACTGTGAGGAACCAACCAGCTCACCTTCAAACAGCACAATCCATGAACTATCTCGAGCAAAACGCAATCCAGACAGGATCAATGAAACTGGAGACAAGCTCAACTTGATCAATCTAGAGAAACAGACAGACTTCATAAGCTTTAATGAAGTAAATGAATCCAACAAAAGTAAAAGGGAAGCAAACTTAGAAAATGACCTACAAGAAAACCAACCTAAGGAAAGAAAGCCAAGGCATGGAAGACGAGCAAATGTTCAGAAGCGTATAAAGCTCACATAAAACGAATCAAATATTTTAGCGAATCAAATTCATTCTGTTTGCTTCTTACTTCCAAACTTCACAATGCTGGTGTTTATTAACTGTTCACTTTGTTTTTATTCACGTTAGTTTCTAATTAAACAAGATTATTCTGAAAAAATGTCTATTTATTATCCAAAGTCCTATTCCAATGAAAATTCTTACTATGTGCAGAAGAAATTAAGTATCGGCCAATAATTCTAACAAATAAATATATACATATTTATCACGTCATTGCTTTTGGTTTTTGTACCAGGTCTTTTCACTGTCAGAAGCACTCTTCAACCCTTGTGATTTATACTGCACCTTAGAGCTCACTAAATTAGAATATGTGTGGGAAATTGTTATATAGAATGTTTCTCTGCATACTGGCTTCTGAAGTATAAAATCATAGGTCATTTACAGCACAAAGAGGGACCATCTGGCCCCAAGGATCACCAGGCCCAAAACGTTAACTCTGATTTTTAATTCACAGATGCCGCCAGGCCTGCTGAACTTTTCCAGCAACTTCTGTTTTTGTTCCATCCAATGCTAGTTCTCTGGAAGAGCAACTCAGCTAGTTCCAATTATCAACACTTTACCATTTAAAATCAACCTCGTTAAATGAATTGCCATTTCCTAATTGAAACACACACACTTTCATGCCACTATTGATTATACACACTGGCTGAGATATCACATTTCTAAAATCGTCAACCATTGACATTTCTTGCATTTTCCTTAATCTATCCTCATACCCCCTTTTAAGAACAAACATGTAGCATTTGCAATTCCTCAGTCTTCTGGCATCACCCTCCATTTCTTAGGAAAACCTCCACAATTTCCACCCTTACCTCCCTTAGTATTCCATCCAGTTCTGGTGACTAATTAACTTTTAAGTATAGCTAGCCGTTCTAAGGCCTCCTCTTCATAGTGCCTCAGCTGCCTTCTCTTTCACAATTACTTAGACAGCATTTTCCCTTGGTAAAACAGATGAGAAGTACTAATTCAGGATCTCTGTTTCCGTGCTTAGATCCTGTATATGGTCCCGAATGAGCAATACCCCGCCTTTTACTGCCCTTTTAATATTCATATTATACAGATGATTCTTTTGGGTTCCCGTTTACATTAACTGCCGATCTTTCACATGGTCTCTCAAAAGCCACATGCATTTCTCTTCAGAGAAGATGGAAATTAAAAATTTCTTTTGAATCTGGCAGTTTGAAACAATTCATTTGCTTTATATTTTTCGTCATATGCTTGAATGAACAAAATACAGTTTTTACAAGGAGAAGTTAACTTCCTGTATTTCTTGTTTCTAAAAGCAAGACATTTATGAACTGTTCGAATCTCCGCCACTTCTGCCACCTGCAATCTGACCCCACTACCAAGGACATTTTTCCCTCCCCACCCTTATCTGCCTTCCGGAAGGACCACTCTCTCCATCACTCCCTCATCCGTTCCACACTCCCCACTAGCCCCACCACCTCCGGCACGTTTCCCTGCAACCGCATGAAGTGCTACACCTGCCCCTACACCTCCCCCCGTCACCCCCATCCCAGGCCCCAAGAAAAATTTCCACATTAAACAGATGTTTACCTGCACATCTGCTAATGTGGATATTGTATCTGCTGTTCCCGATGTGGCCTCCTCTACATCGGGGAAACCAAGCGGAGCTTGGAGACCGCTTTGTGGAACACCTACGCTTGGTTCATGACAAACGACTGCACTTCCCAGTCGCGAACCACTTCAACTCTCCCTCCCACTCCTTGGACAACATGTCCATCTGAGGCCTCCTCCAGTGCCACAACGATGCCACCCGAAGGCTGCAGGAACAGCACCTCATATTTCACTTGGGAATCCTGCAGCCCAATGGTCTCAATGTGGAGTTCACAAGCTTCAAAATCTCCCCACCCCCAATCTCATCCCAAGACCAGCCCAGATCATCCCCGCCTCCTTGACTGTGCATCTTTTCTCCCACCTATCCACTCCTCCCACCTCACTGGCCAACCCCCACCCCGAATTCCTACCTACTAGCCTCATACCCACCTCCTTGACCTGTCCATCTTTCCTCAACTGACCAACCCCCATCCCACTCCCTACCTACACTCACCTTTACTGTGTCCATCCTCGCCTACTTGACCTGTCCGTCTTCTGTACAGCTATCTGCTCCACTATCCACCTTCTATCATCGTCTCCCCCTCTCTCTATTTATTTCAGAGTCCCCTTCTCCTCCCCCATTTCTGAAGAAGGGTCCAGATCCAAAACGTCAGCTTTCCTGCTCCTCTGATGCTGCCTGGCCTGCTGTGTTCATCCAGCTTTACACCTTGTTATCTTGAATCTTTGCTCGTCTGTTCTCAACACCTGAGTTGGCCTAAGCTTTCAAAATTTTGTTCTTATTATCATTTGCCTGGATACAGTCTTGGTCAATAAGAGAAAAAGATTGAAAAATAGAGATCTTTATATCTGTGCTTCATCTAAAGAGAAATACACCTGGAAATTACATTTATGTTAATCATAATTTTCCTCTAGATCTAGGTGTTACGCTACTAATTCTGAGGAAGTAACTGAAAAGTATCAAAAGAAACAAACTGAGCATCTGAACAAAATGAGATACGACAATATCAGCATGTGTTTATTTATGACTTGCATTTATGACAAGTATGACTTGCATAGTTCATTCTTGAAGTCACTAACAAGCTAAATAAGAAAAATGTCTACAGGTACTGTCTTTATGGATTTTCTGAATGCATATGATAAGCTGAGACACAGGAATTACCAACAAAAAACAGAGTGTATGGTATCAGGGAGAACCTGTGACATGCTGGTAATTGGTGTGCAAGCAAGAATAAACAGAATGTTTTCTGACTGATGGGATGTGACAACTGGGATCTGTACAGGAGTCTCAGTTTTTCACCACATTTATTAATGACTATGTAAAGAAATATACAGCTGTACATCTGATTATGCAAGTAACATTATATTAAAGTGGGCAGTAATGTTCACCATGGCCTTTGTTGAAGCCATCTGACCTTTCATGATGGGAATGGCAGGAAGAGGTCATCAGTCACAATGTGGAGTGTTTTAAAGACCAGAGATCAGTCTGTAGTGTAGGCTAAATGGATTATGCTTGCTGCTAAGGGACATTAACTAAGATGAACTTTTGGTGCATTTGCACACCAATGGCAAGTTCAAAGAGCAGTATTTCATTTGCAGTATTTCTCCCCACTAACATGGTGGACTGACATCGCTTTTGAAAAAGCCATCTGAATTTTCCCCCTCAGGGGGAAGAAAATCAAGTCCTCTCTCCTTATATATGGTGTGTCTGTGATCATTCTCATCATGTCTGTGAATGGTGAACTATTTGCTCTAGCTGGAAGGCATGTTAGAGGGTTGATGACCTGAACATGCATTGTCTTGGCCATGCTTTGTGGCTACAAGCTAGTTTGAAGAAGGTGAAACAACTTTGTGATGATCTCATTTGCGATTTGTAGCCTCCTCAAGCACTGTTGTGTCCCTAGGTTACAAGGGATGGCATTCCTAGAACACCATTTGTAGGTCAAGCCTCTATGAAGAGGGCTCCTTGTCCTTCCTCCTCCCAGGCAACCCTCTACATGTGCTAGTCAAGTTGCAGGCCATATACTGCTGCAACAAGTGTCCATACTCATGCAAAAGGAGTACTTCTCTTTCCATTCTTATCATGTACAGGAAGTATCTCCAAATTGCTCCAGCATCTCAACATAATGCTTACATAAACTTTGCTGTAGCAAAAATAGGACAAGAATACTTCACCTACAACTTGCAGAGCGAGCCTTCAAGCAACTCCAGAACAGGGTCCATGTTTGTTGTTTCAAGAATGGCTGGCAAGGATGCAGACTGCACAGGTTGACCAAATTTGATATCCTGCTGTTACATTCTCCCACTCAGATGACAGACACCATGAAAGTTCTTTTCATGGTCTTCAGTTGCATGAAAGGGACATATCATTGCAAAATTCTAATTCAGTAACAATACACAGACTGCACAGTAAGTGGTATAATGAATCTTGCAATAAACCTGTGTTATAGTAGTTACTAGCTGCCTGCAAGTGTAAACAAAGATTTGTCAGGCACCACACTAGCCTATGATGAGTACAGTGTTTTTGAAAATAAATTTTTGTTCTTGAGAGTTTGGAAAATTAACCTACAAATGGAGGCGAGCAAGAGAATAATAGTCATCCTAGCATCATGGGTAGCTGCCCGTGGTCATTGGCTGAGAGGGTTCAGTAAGATCACTGACATAGCAACAACGGCCAGCCCCCAAAATAAGGTTTATCGATATAGGGTACGTGGAGAGAGACAGAGAGAAAAAGAGAGAGAGAGGATCCAGGGAACTGAGCCATCATCTATTTCAGACAAGACTGGGAATTCCCCTGCACCAGCCCAAGGTAAGAACAAAGACTGTCACCATCAATGACTCCACAATGTCAGGATGAATACTCCACCACTTCAATACCAGCGCCTCTCTGCTTCCATTCCACAGAACAGCTTCAGGATTGTCTGATTTAAAAACTAAAGAATTAGGATTAATAACACTTAGTAAAGAAGTATCCCTGAGATAGATACAGCTAAAATGAGATCTGGAGAATTTTAAGTCCCTGTGTGCTTATGATAGGTGTTAGACAGAACCAATTGAGAACCAACAGGAATACTGAAGGTTTACAAGGGGAGGTGAAAAAGTAAAGAAGAGAAGCAAAAAGGAACTATGACAAAAGACTCGCTTCTAACATGAAGGGAAATTCCAATGTTTTCTACAGTCATACGAGTATGGTTAAAGAAGGATTAGGGCTGGTCAGAGACCAAAAGGGGGATTTACACACGGAGGCGGGGTAAAGCTGAGGTCGTAAATGAATATTTTGTAAGTGACTTTACAATAAAGGAGGATGCTGCCTAGGCCATGGTAATAGAGGAGGGAACTCTGTCACTAGAAAGTTGAAAATTTATAAGAAAGAAGTCTTGGATAGACTGTTAGTATTTAGAGTTGACAAGACACAGAACTGAATGAGATGCATCCAAGGAGTTTGAAGGAAGTGAGGTCAGAAATTGGAGGGGGACCATTCTCCTTAATCTTTTAGTCTTTCATGGAATCAGGGGAGGTGCCAGAAGACTGGAGAACTGCAAACAATATGGCCATGTCCAAGGAAGTTTTTAAGGATAATCCCAGCAATT